GATTTGCCAAATTTTCATTTGTTGAGCCTCCCTGATTATAAAAAATATTTTCATGCCCCTTTTTATTTATTTTTATTAAAATAAAACACATTCTTTAACGATTTTTTAAATTATACAAAATAAACTCTACGCCCCCCTAGGGGGTGGCGGCGGCCTCTTGGTTGGGAACTCCTGATCTATTATATATATATATATATTATATATATATATATATATATATATATATTATATATCTATCTGGAGAGTGACATAGGTTACTTTTTATCGCGAAAGATCATCTCATTCCCATGGGAAAACACGTTATAATACAATCCAAAAAAATATTTCTGATCAGAATTACTTGAAACTTGGTATTAATGCTCTTCAATACAAATAAATAAATACGTGTTTTAGCATTTTTCGAAATTCATCCTATAAAGGGTAAAATAGGAGATGAAAGTTTGTATGAAACCTAGGTACTTAGCATTCAGAGTTAGTCAACTCAACTAGTCAAAGTTTTTTCTGTAGTTTTAGCGCGAGCGAAGCCGCGGGTTCTGCTAGTATATTTATAAACGTAATTTAATATATATCATTATATGTAGGAAATACAGAAATGTTTTAATTAAAAAGTGTAATCTTACCTTAATTCCTCTTCAAGTTTTTTATGTTCCATCTCTCTATGTTGAATGACTTTGATAAGCTCATTTCTTTCTCTTGCTAACTCTTTCAATGATTTATAAAAATCTTTAACATTTTTATCACTGTAAATAATTTTTATAATTTAATACCTTGTATTTTATTTCTAATTCAAATAGGATATTCATTCAAATTAGAACAATTCTCTTTTGGTAAAAATTAATTTAAAAAAGGTCATTTGGCACTTCAGCAACATTTAGTGGCAAGTTAAAGCAAATACATAGCTAAAAATCAGCCTTATGTAACAAAAAATGTGTCAAAATTTCAAAACAATTAGTAAAGAACTTTCGAAGATTTGAGAGCAGTTATGTACAAAAAAACTTTTACATTTTTAATTAAATGTAATAATAAAATAGATTATACATATATTTCAATAAAAATTCAGTTTAAATGTTTTTAAGAAAAAAATAAGGTTAAGAACAGATTGGTTTATTGCAGGTTCAAATTTAAATAAATTTTTTTATAAGAAATGTATGTTTTTGAAACCAAAACCATAAATTAATATAATTCCATAAAAAAAATTGTTTCATGTATTCGGTTTTAATAATGTGTAAAACATTACCTATAATCATCTGTTTTCATTAATTTCCTTGTGATTTTTTGCAATTTATTAACTACATCTGTATATTTTGTCTTTGCATTTTCCATTCTATGCTCATGTTCTTTTCTTACTTCATCTATATCTTTTTCCATAGTCTCTATCACTTGACTTAATTTATTGATATCTTCAGAATATTTTACCTTTTCTCTCTCTTCTAATTCTTTTGGAATATCACCAGTAAGCTCTGAATGTAAAATGGCATAATGTATCTTTGTATTGGCAGTGTCTATGTTTTCCATATTATTTGTATATCTTTCTGTCTGTAAATAATTGATTATATCAAAATGTGCATATCATTTTATAAAATCCATATCAAATTCATAATGTATGGTGTAAAAACTTACTTCTGTAGTTATATCTGATGGGTCAGCCAGGTTTTTCTCATAATCATACTGTAATATTGTAAAGATATCTAAATCAAATGTTATTGTAGTATTAAGAAAAATGTAGATTTATATTTTACAAAAAATATTACACAAACATTTAGAAATTGCACCACTTCTATTTCATAATAACAAGTTTGCTTACCAGGAAGTCCAGACCTTCATCTTGTTTTGATTCATCCTTATTATTAGAAATGTGCATTAGCATACGTTGGTCATATTCAGACAGAACTGAATTTACTTGCTCCAACTCATTAGTGGGAAGGCCTCCTTTTCTTTTTCTCACCCTACAAGGCTTATATAGGTTCTAAAAATATAAAATTTGTATTAAAAAAATTAAACATCAAATACAACAATAAACAATAGTAGAACTATTAAATTTTATAAATATTACCTGGACTTCTATAAGATTCTTTAGCATTTTCTCATTCTGTGTAAAATAAACACGGTCTAATTCAAAAATATGATCTTTCTCATACTGCATTACTGCAAACTTGCGCAATTCATCTTCTTTAGCTTCTCTGAATTCACTGGAGTATTTAATTAGCCACTGTATTAAAGGATATATTTTGATAAAATCAAGCCCTTGTATTTGATGAGGTTCTATAATATAAGGACACTTCATGCTTGGCAGGACTTTCACAATTTTTTCTGTTAAAGCTCTAAAAAGAAAATACAATTGTATAGTCTACAATGATTTATGCTGTCATAAATATAAAAATTATTAAATTATTGCTTTAATTTCATACATTTTTTTCCCAATCGTGAGATTCTCTTCAAATAATAAACTTATATCCACATCAATGTCACATAATTCAATACACCAACTTAAACCACCCACTATTTTATCAAATGCAGATAAGCCTTGAAGTTGTGCCCTGTAGTATCCAGCAGCTACAAGGGCATCAGATATTTCATGCCATTTAACAAGTTGTTCAGCATCCTCTCGTACTTCAACCTTAAAATTATGAAAATCAATTTACATAAAATTAATAGTATACATTTTTAATTAACTAATAAGCATTAATTAAAGTCGATATTAATTACCTTTTTTCCTTCTTGATCTACATCACTATATATGTTTAATAAAGGTTTACTTCGGGTAAATATATTCTTCTGTTTGGTAGCCATTATTTAAGATTGAAAGAAAATATAGAAGAAAAGATTAAAAGTTATATATTTTTTAATATTTAATCAAATCAATCATAACAGAAAACACTGGTTTTCTTAAATGGTACCATAATAAATGAAATACACCCCAAATAAAATAATAACAACAAAATAGTATGAATTACAAATAAATTAATTAATACAAAATAACGTTTAATTTAAATATAAATAAAACCGTAAGTGTATTTTTACATTGCATTGTAAATTGCCGACTTTAATAATTATTAATTATGTGATATGTCAAACATGGATGACAATAAAGAAGTCAAAAGTCAATGATATCAAATGTCAATGTCAAACATCAAAGTCAAAAATCCTAAATAGCCACACACGGAAAAAAAATGAACAAAAAGTGAAGTTAACCACTTGCACCCCGGTGATGCCTATAGGTACCACCTCGCCCGCTGCACTTTTATCACTTAATACAAGACGAAATCAGATTATTTTATGCTAAATGAGTGATACACGCAAATGTTAGAAGTTTTATGAAGTATATAAAAAAATGCGGACAACGTTAATACATAATTTTATAAATAAAATATAAACAAAATTATTACTAAAGATAATGAAAATAAAATTATGATCAATGCCACCTTGAAGAAAAAACACTTCTCATATTTTCTGTTGTTGAGTTGGAATCCTTGCACGTATTACGTCAAAGCAGTACTTTTAAAAGTGCTCGATTGAGTGGAGCGTTGCTGTAGTCGGTACATCCGAAGATAGTAGTATAGTGCATACAGTACAAGTACATTTTTTTAGTCAACTTCACATGTTTAAATGTTTAGTTTTTTTGAATGAAAAGTGTTATGTTTTTATATATGTGATAATACTTATCTTGTTCTTTTATAATTTAAGCTAAATTTATATTCAGAAACGTTAATTACAATGCAACACGAGCGACTATAAAAAATAACCTCAATTTTTCTCTCTTACAAGAAACGCATTCGAATTTTAATTAATGTGGCTTATTTTCAAGATTTATTGTGCATGTTTTTAAAATAAGGACTATTCTGTATTTTAGTATGATTTTACTTAACAATCCACACACTGTAACTCGAATGATTGTTTTGAAAATACAACAAATGAGCCGTGAAGGCTATAAAGTTTTGAATTTGATTGTAACTCACAACAAATATAAATAAATAAATCAAGAAATGGTTTTGTGCGATTACATGTTTATTCATAAAATAGTGTTTTAAATTTAGTGTAAAAATATATCGTGGTATTATCATAAATCAATATAATACAACAACTAGTACATTTTACTAAAACTGATATATTCCTCGTTTTTCGATTACAGAGCATAATGCCGCACTTTGGCGCACAATAACGAACAACTCGACAAAACACTTCTTATATTTTCTGCTAATGAGTTGCGCGCATCAAGCGAAAACAGTACTTTTCGAAGTGCTGGATTCAGCGTTGCGGTAGTTAAGAAATTCGAAGTTGAGCTTTATGCCGCATAATGCGCTTTATTGCTGTAAAATTGAAATATTGCATGCTGTACGGCTGATTTTGGCTGAACATTAAATATATTATTATCAAAATCTAAATGTATGTTCTAACCCAAGCAATAAAGTGGTCGATTTGATTTATTTGGCCCTGCGGGCCTGCGGCAAGTGTCAATAGCCCGCTTTAAGCTGCCCCGAGACGATCAATCACAAAAATTGTCAATTTTACGTGTCAATTGCTATTAAACGTTTACAAATCCAATTGAAGCGATTGTCAAAACACGTTTATCATTTATGCAACGTGATTGAAAGCAATTGAAGTTGAAGTTCATTGAAGTTGCCAATTGATCGTTTATTGAGTCATGGGCAATCGTTTCCTACTGTTTTCGAATTTCGCATGTCTTAAAATTATTGAAATTAATATTAAAAAATAAAATTAAATATACAAACATGGTGGATACCCCACTTAATTTAGAGGACCGTGAATTTATTTCACTATTAATATCTTTTTATCAAAATCGTCCTTTTTTTTTAACGTTGGGAAATGCATTTACGCACGAGGTGTGGGACTCACCGGCGAAGCCAGTACTACCCACTAAAACCCAACAAAACCTTCCCCCGTCTTAATGGGGCGTCGCAGGATCGCTTACGCATTCAACTACGACGCCCCGACGGCAGGTCTACCGAAGCAGACCACCACAACCATGGGGTTGCTCCAAAGTCCACTCTGCTATCAGAGAAGTACCAGGAGCAACCCACATGGTACACCGCCCTCCGAAGAGGGCCACCTCCCACCGCCCACCGAAGTGGGCCACCTCCCTGTGCGTTTCTTGGCTTCGCGCCCGGTTGGGTTGCCGGGCACTACTGAGCCCCCCACCACGACAAGGTGTACGCACGTTGGGGGGGATTATCAAGATCGTCCTGAGTTATGCAAAATTAAATTAAAAAAATTATTCGAACAAAGATAAAAAATAATAATAATATTGTAACTAATACTTCAATAATAGTGATATTTACCTCAGGTGTGTGTGGATACTGCTCCATTGTAGTTGCTCTGTGGAGAGTGCTCCATTGTACTCTTGTTCAATATTACTTGTAGACTGTAGTAGGCCTGTAACTAAGTATTTAATATTGGAACTACATAGTATAGTAATATAATCTGTGATGTTCTGAATAAATCTTATTTGTCAATTTTCATCCATGGTATCAACTATTACCTCGTCTGTCGATCGACCTTTTAAAGGTCGATGTCAAAAACACCCCTGTCTGTCAAGCGACCTTTTAAAGGTCGATTGGTCCCGATGTCATTTAATGTGTGATTTCTCGCATTTAAACTATATTTATTTTTATCTAACTTTTGTAACGTGTAAAGAAAAATACAAGCAATAATATCATACTACATGTCAAAAAAGTAATAACTCCAATAACATAAATTATTGTAATTTGTGCAGACAATTTATTTAAATTTTGGCGATCTTTGAACTCAATACTTGTGAGTAAAAAATTAACAAAATAGTGTAAAATTATTAGTATAAGGATTGGAATATGATGGAAGGGTAAGTAATTAACAGTTTTTATTTCATAGGATGTGTATTGAATAGAGATTTTATACAGAAATTGTTATATTTGTCAAACATCGTAAGCATTCACGCGCGCTTAGTCCTTATATTTTCACTTTTTCTGAATAAAAAATACACTAGTGATAGCATAATATTTTTATTAACATGATTTAAATTTATAACTAAATAACTACGTATAATTGAATTTGTAAATTTTCTATTAGATTTTAAGTAATTAATAATATAATAACACGTAACCCAAATTCGAGCCGCCATTTTTGACGGCTGTTGGATAGTATGGGGAAGGCTTTTTTAATATTCATTAGAATATTTTCATTGATGTTTTTTAGGATTATTTGAAATTTAATATTTTATAAATATTTTAACTGTTTCTAAAAAAAAATTGAATTTTTTAAAACAGTACGATTTTTATTTTACAGATATAAGTTCAACTTACACATTACTTTAAAACATTATAAAAATAAAAAAACCTAACTGCATAACAGCTAACTAAAAAGATAAAAACAAGTTGTCGAAGGAATGAAGTATTATGCAGTTGGTGACATACACATGTACATCTCGCGACAAGGATGAAATGTATTTTTTATTTACAGCTTTTTAATTTTATTAGAAATTTGAAGTTATAATAGGTCTTTTGAAATTGCCGTTCTACAATACTTACTGGCCATTGGAAACGTAATTTATGATTGGCCGGCAATAAATTCTAAATTCAAATGAATTTTATTTTAAAAGTATGGAGTTCTATTTTTGAATTCAGTCGTTTGTTTATTAATTAGTGTTTTGTTTTCACTACATTTGTTTGTTTTTTATCAATATAAACACAATAAAAATTCGAGTAATTATGAAATACGAGTTCCATCGCGGTAGCAATCCCGCACAAACGGCTCGCAACATTAATGACGCGTACGGAGTGCCGAGTGAACACTACAAACGAACGCACAACTCGTTATTGGTCTGAACACTTCCAACAACGAAATTTTGATCTTAAAACATTAACCCCGTGGTCGCCCGAAAACTAAAATCAGTAACGACGCATTAAAGGCGATAGTGGAAGCTGACGATACTCAATCTGTGGCTGAGATAGCAGCAGCTTTCAACGTTAGCATCAAAACAATATTGGTCAATTTGCATTAAATTGCATCAATAGCATGGGTGCATATTTTGATTAATAGAAATGAAAAATATTTATAAAAATACAATAATTTAACTTTCTGTATATTAAACGATAATTTCATAGGTAAAGACTTAATATTTAGCAATTTCTTATCCCAAATTACCTTTAAACATGTAAGTTGTGTTCTCTTAATTTTTTTTGTGATCGCCAAAAATCTTTATTTTAAGAGCCCATTCGATTGATTTGGAAATTTTTTTTACAGACAAATTGGCGCCTGATATCCGCCATTTTACTTTTTAATTATTTTTAATTTTTAACTATAACGCGAGTATTATAGGCTATATATAGCTTATGACACTCGCGTAAATACGAAACTAACGACATATGAATCATAGAAATCAGCCCACGCGTTTGGTCTCTAGAGTGTCATACATACATATGTACATACATACATACATAGACTGATAAATACATAACCCTCCTTTGCGTCGCGCAGTCGGGTAAAAAATAAGTTTATTTGCATCTCTTAAACTAGTATCATGTTGCATTTTATGTTTATTGAAGCTGCACCAAAATTGCTTAAAACATGCCTTATTTGATTACAATATTATGATCGGAGGGTGAACAAGAAAGACCAATTGTAGGCAATGTACCCCATAGAGCGAAAGCGAACAAGGGTGTAGTATAAATAACTGTTTATTAAAAAAAAACCGACTTCCAGGCACTAAAATGTAATAAATAGCTAAACGGAGGTTTTCATTTAGAATAGATACCTAATCAGATATTTTCGAAGTCGGTGCCAGCCGACAATATTTTAAGATATAAATATCTAATACGTAAATATGAATTTTATGTATCGAAATATATTAGATTTACTTTGCATAGGCTGGAACTGACTTCGAAAATATCTGATTTATATATTATACCACGCCTTTGTTCGTTTCGACGACGTGATTGAACATCGAAGACGTGGTGAACATTATATGGGAGGAGGTTAGTATAGTTTTACTTATGTATCTTTACTTAGTAATAATTAGTATTTGTTGCTTTTAGGATAAGTGTTCATCTTTTTTTTCATTTAAAATAGATATGTATAAAAGCCTCTACCTGCAAGCAATATTCATTAAAAAGTGTCCTTTACCTAACAAAAGGCATCCAAAATTTTCTACTTCAGATTTAAAACATCTGTGAGTACTAATTACAAAGTTTTTATACTCTACTATATTTTTTTTACTACTATAACTATGGAGTCCATCAAATACTCAATACAGTAACTGGCACAATACTTCAATCTTATAAAATATAAATGAAAACTTTAAAAGTAACCCCGACATGTAATTCACCATTTTGTGGTGGCGACCATCTTGGATTCGAAAATTATACTAGTCAAGCCTAATTCATTTGATACCCATATTGAGGGAGTTGTGTAAAAATATGTAATCCGCTATTTTGTGGCGGCGGCCATCTTGGACCGATTTTCATCAAACATAGCTAAGAACACTTCCGAATTATTCACCTTTCAGAGAAAAAACAAAAATAAAATCGGATGATCTCTTCGGGAGCTACCATACCACAGACAGACACACACACAACACACAGCACGTCAAACAAATAACTCCCCGTAGTTTTTGCGTCGGCGGTTAAAAACAGTAGAAAAAAAATTATTCCTCTCCGAATTAATATTTAAAGTTGTTTTATTTTGAATTGATGTTTTATTATCATTTTATTTCCATAACATAATCTGTTCAGATGTGATGGAATTGGTCGTATCCATACTTTTTTAGCAATCCCTTGTAATTCTTATAGTAAAATTGTTAGTTTACAGAATTGATTTCTGAAATATTCTAATAAGGCAACATGTCTTTTTATTATATTTTTCATTTTGAAATATCACTTAATTGTAAGGTGTAAATATATTTTAAAGAAAATTTAAACAGAATTTGCTCTGCGATCCAAAGTTTGAGATGACATTTTTTAGCACTTATTTTCTAGTGTTTGGTTTATTGTTCAATTCTTGTAAACTAAATAGTTATAAGAACACAAACTTTGTCAGTATAACGTACGTGGACTAAACTATAATATAAATGATTATCCTAAATCTCTTGATCTTCAATGCTCTTAGAATTCAAGTATAAAAAACACCTCTTTTTTATCCGGCGCTAAGTCGCCATAATTGAAACATGTTATTGTTAAGCTTGTGGTGTAAAAAAAATGTACAGTGAGTTGTGTTGTTTTAATCAATTAATATAAAATATTGTATCTATAATTAAATGAAATTAAAAGTTTTTAAAATAATAGTTTTATTTTATAATAATTCCTGTTTTCATGCTATATACTGATAAAAAATCACTTAGAGTAATTTCAACTTAGACTTAACTATATAATATTAAATACAATTGATCTTATTTATATATATATTCTTAGTTTATTTTAAAACGATTCTAACGATATAAGCTTTATATATAGCTTATATATAAAATTTTAATAAATATTGTTATTTTAATGATGCGTACATATTTCGCGCAAGCCCTCGAAAAGTAGCCGACAGATGCGCCATATTTTTGTAAAATGACAGCGACAGTTGAGGGGTTATAGCAAGTAATAAGATAATTTTTTGTTTGACGTTCCCTTGACGAAACCGAGAATTCTTACTGACAATGAATCCGAACGATATTATCCGACTTACCTATACAGTCTGATTTTTAATTCCACGGAAATATGACAGCTATCATTCTTTGACAATCCAGATATCATAAACCTTTTCTGCTTTGTATTTTTTTAATATAAAATAACAAAAAATATGAAACAGAATTAGATCAAGTAAACTATATGTATGACATTGTAAATAGTCTTTGTTTTGTGCATTCAATGTACACTAATTAAAATGTACATTTTTTTTTATGGTTAAACAAAAAAAAACAGTGTAAAACAAAATACCATTTTAGAGTTATCAATAATTTTTTAAGTCTTAGGTTTTCCAATTGAAACCTTAACTTCGAGGAAGGTTTATTTTTTTATTTTGCTAAAATGCTTTCCGTTTTTAGTGACAATGTTTCAATTCAAAGTTGACAACACTCCTGAAATGTCAGAATTCCGTCGAATTAAAAATTAGACTATTACTTTTATTTGTCATCCATGACTATTACACAGATCCTTCAATATTACTAAATACTAATATCTTAGCGCATAGTAATAGATCAGTCACACCACTGCAAAGTGCAAATGACAATTGTGATTGATCGTCGCTGGTCCGCTTTAAACTTTAAAGTGCTTACATTTTGCTAATCGTAGCATTTCTCTACGAGTAGTTTGTGCATATAATTTAATCATGAATAAGTTGCCAAGGGTTATGTGCTGTAAGTTTATTCGATAATAATATATTAAATCATTATATTACATTAAGTAATCACCTTTCTTATTTTATTTCATAACGATGAAAAAAAAACAATTTATTTTATTGTGGCTAAGCAAAGATTGTACATCCCAACATTAAAATTTAAAGAATTCAATTTAGTTAAAATTGATGATGTAAAAAAGTGTAACAACATTCAACTAACTTGATTTCAGAGATCAAAAAGTTTGGAAATACAAGCTTTCTTACCACATCTTTCATCATGGAACAAGATTTAGATGTTGTGGATTTAGTTTCATCACTTTTGGATTCTGGCAAATACAAAGAAGCACTGAATAAAATTGAAAAGAAATGTGCTAATTCTTTCAAAGATAATTGTTGGGATTTGATATCTGTTGTTGTTGGTAAGATCCAGATTGATACAATGATAATAAAACCATCACTTTATGGGACATGTGAAGAATTATTGGCAATTATAGTTCAAAAAGCATCTCCTGAAGAAGCTCTATTAGAGTTCATTGAACAAATAGAAGTTGCGAAAAATGATGCACAGTTTGCCATTATATTAGAGCCATTACAACAACTTCTCCTTAAACTATCTATTAAAAGGGGTAGATCTTTAGAATGGTGTTTAAACTCAATTAGCACCTATATTGAAACAATTCCAATACCAGAACATCATTTAGAAGAAAAAGAAAGATTATTAATGGATTGTGATCCTAATATTAGGCGGATAATTAAAATTTATTCTTTATTGCCACCTTTCATCAGTCCTTTTGTGAAAGAAACAGCAGTGTCTAATATCAATCAAAGAACAGCAGAAATTTTGGCTGCATTTTTGATTAGCTTGCTCGGTAAACCTTTAATTTATGTGGATTTAGATCCTGATTCTAATAAAAATAGTGAAGGTAGGACATGTGCTAATACTATCATTCAAGATATATGCACATTGGTCAAAAATATATACAAATTTTTAGAATATGTAGAATTACATTTTAAACAAGATCAGAAACAAAAATCTAAGAATATTGTTGTTAGTGATAGTGAAGAGGAGTTATCACCATATGACCATAAAGAGAAAATTAATATGACAACATTATCAGGCCTATTCTATACTACTTTATCCGGACAATTCACGCTACCAGATTTTGCTTTACCATTGGTTTATTCTTCAGAATATGTGACAAATATAGTGTTGCTTTGTGTAGTGCATCTTCTAAGTTTTGTACAATATGGTCCTCTTGCTAAGGGCATATCTCTATGTTATAAAATATTGAACAATGGTTCTAATAACTTTATTCATACAACTCTCAGTAATCCAGTCCATTATAAATTATGCAAAAGCTTAGTTAATATATCAATTTATTCAAGCTATGACTATACTCGTAAGGAAGCAGTGAAATTAATCGATAATCATATTATGAAGTTTGATTATAAAGGCAGATGTATGCTTATTAAATTCATACTGGATACAGCAAACCATTCAGGAATGATAGGGTTTGCAATAACTTTATATAAAAAATCAATAGATAAAGCTTTCCAAGAGCCAGAGTTACCAGAATGTTTTACTGGTGTGCACTTAATGGGTATGATCAAAAAGATTTGTTATTTACCTCATGGTCCTGAATCAGACTTAGTAGAGTTAGCAGATCAAATAATTACTGCATTAAATTTTCTTAGATATTTAGCATTGAAAGACACTTGCAATAAGACTGGAATCAGAGAGTATTTTTCACTCATAGAAGATGATTACTTGAAAAATTTGAGAACTGGTCTAAATATGTCTAAAGCACATTATGAAGTGAAACTGAAGGATATAGAAGAAGCTAAAGCATTGCCAGAGGAACAAGTTGAAGTCTCAATTAATGTTGGTGGAAACATACTTGATAAAATACCTACAGAAAACAAAAAACAAATCATACATTCAGCATTAAATGCTTTTCATTTAATAGAAGGTTTAGTGGCACGCTTATCTGAGTGTATTATTGTTAATAAAACTCAAGTTGTTGCATAGTGTAATTAAGTTTTTCTAATAAAAAGCAAAAAGTAAATAATAATTTTTGTTTTATTTAAGTCCTTGAACAGTAATTAACATTTAACAAAATTTACCTGTTGGAATAATGTTTTTAAATAAGCACATTATTTTATTGTTATAGCTTTAAGGACAACCCGCAAATTTGTTATACCAATTACAAATGTTAAAATCAAAAACCTACAAAAGAATATCCGAAATTATTGCCAAGAGCAACCAAGTAAAGAAATTGTAATGAAAGCAATTAATGCTGATCAAGAAGAAACTCAATATGAAGAAGACATCAAGAAAAGAATTTTGGCTAAAGCTTTAGAATTTGTTCAAAAGAGTGGATGGTCCGTAGAATCCTTAGCACAAGGAGCAGAAGCTGCAGGTTACCCTGGTATTGCTCATGGACTTTTTCCAAATGGAGGAGGAGACTTAGTGCATTTTTTCAATGTAACATGCAATGAAAGTCTTGTTGAGGAAATGAAAACCGTAAGAATGTTTTAAATTAAGTTATACTTACTATAATTTAGTCGCCAGCCACAGCTAAAATACTAATAAAATCTGTACAAATATTTATCCCAAAGGTATTGACCATAGCACCGTGCTGGAAGCCCCTTGATACATACCATTGATCTTATCTTAATATGAGTTAATAAGACAAATAATGTTATAGTTGACGCCGTCTTTATTATAAATTAATATTAAAATATTTTTAGTGGCCGAAAGAAGATTTAAAAGAATCAAAAGTACCAGCTCAACAAATAGAAAATGCAATCATGACTAGGCTTTTAATGATTGATCCATACAAGTAAGAATAATTTCAAGTGGTCGTATACTTTGCAAACTTTTCGGTGACCTAATAATACCTATCTATGTACGTTTTAGGAGCACATGGCCGAAAGCTATGGCAATACAAACTTTACCTAACAATGTTCCGAATTGCTTAGCAACACTCCTTTCACTGGTTGACGATATCTGTTACCACACAGGTGACCGAAGCGTAGATGTGAGTAGTAAATTATTTTTCTTCTATATGTATATAAAATACTTGTTGATTTAGAATAAAATAAAACTAATAAAAATTATATTTGTTTTTTAGTTCAATTGGTACATTAGAAGAGTGGGTTTGGCTGGTATTTATAAGGCATCGGAATTATTTTATCTCACTGATGCCACACAAAATAGTAGTGGAACTCGAAATTTTGTTAAATCACGAATCAGGGATGCAGAATTCATCCAAATAGCCTTAAATATGAATCCAGTGTCAGTTGCTCCCCAAACTTTAACTGCTGCTTTTGTAACGGTAATTTGTCTAGTATTTATATCTATTAATGTTGATAAATGAGATTAGTATTAATAGAGCACCAAAACCGTAGATATGAAGACTCCCAAATATTTGGTTTTTTGTCTGTCTGAAGTCTTACTTTTAGGGTGGGTACTGATGTGATCTCCTTGTTAAGTATGAAGGTCACATGTTATTTAATTACCTTCTTTATAATATTAGATAATATTATGACATTGTCAACAGTGTTATACTATCAAATTGTCAATACCTAATTATTTACTATGTCTTATTTTATTGTTGAATAAAGCCAATATTCTATTTGGTTCTATCATTATCTGTATCAATTTATTCAACAATAATTTTGTGTATCGCTGATACCAACTATGCCTGACGAAAAGGAAAAGTCTTTCTCAATATCTCGGTATCTGCGTCCTGAACGTTTTGACTTGGAACCCGCAATGGCCGGCTCAGACTTGAAATGGATTCATTGGAAGTACTCATTTGAAAATTTTATCGCACAGGAAGCCGCTTTGGCTGACGATGCCCTTAAGTACAAACTCCTTGTAAACCATATCTCGCCATCAATATTTAACTTCATTCAAGCTTGCACCACGTACGTCGATGCCATGACCACTCTCAGTACCACCTATGAAAAACAAAAAAATATTATCTTGGCTCGGCATCGCCTCGCTACTAGAAAGCAACAGCCTGGCGAAACGTTAGCAGAGTATTCGAGATCTCTTGCCATACTTGCTCGTGAATGTCACTTCAAAGCTGTTACTGCTAATGAACACCAAAACGAAACCGTACGTAGTACGTTCATTGCCGGAATATTGTGTCAGAAAATAAGAGAAAGGTTGCTAGAAAAATCTACTATGTCTTTGGAAGAAACATTGAATCTGGCTACATCTTCAGAAACTGCTGAAAATACTTCACGACTACTAACAGTATCATCTCCATCAACGTCTGCTGTTCCTGTTAACACGATCTCTGAAACTCAAGCATCGCAACCACAGCTCAACTTGGCAGCATCAAAACCTCAAAATTTTCATCACAGTCGCCCTACGCAAAGTGACCGCCGATGCTTTTTCTGCGGTGGCAATGTTCATAAAAGAATCAAGTGCCCCGCTAATAATGCCCAATGTCAACTTTGCTCCAAAAAAGGACATTTTGCAACTGTTTGCCGTAGTTCAAGACCAGGTCAACATACCGTAAATGTTATTACCATGGACGATGACGACGTTACTCAACCTCAAGTTACTGATTCTCATTTGTCAATGATATCCGCTGCTGCGCCATCAAGCCTACGTAAAGCTACCATTCCAATTACCTTGAACAACTATCAAGCAGATGCGCTACTTGACACCGGAAGTTCAATCAGCTTTATCGATAAGAATACTGCTCTAACCATGAACCTTAAACGAAAGCCCTGTCGACAAGCGATAACTTTAGCATCTCTTAACAATATATCATATGTTGAGGGACTATGCTACGCTACAATTCAGATTGGTGAACATATATACCAGCATCAACCTCTGCTCATTGTTGGCGATCTGTGTGCTGACGTTATCATTGGGCATGATATATTAGGAAAACACTCATCATTTGAACTTCAGTTCGGGGGAGACAAAGGGCCCTTGAAAGTTTGCAATGTACTGGAGGCATCTGTCCCACCAGCTTCAATTTTTACTAATCTTTCACCAAATATAAAACCTATAGCTATTCGCTCCAGACGGCATTCTCAGGAAAATCAAGAATTTATATCTAACGAAATAAGCAACTTACTTAAAGACAAGGTTATCGAACCCAGTATCTCGCCTTGGAGGGCACAAGTACTCGTTACTGGTGATGACTATCATCGGAAACGTCTTGTCATTGACTATTCTCAAACTATAAATAGATTCACGGAACTAGATGCATATCCTTTACCTACCATCGATTCTATTATAACTCAAGTCGCTAAATACAATATTTATAGCAAAATCGACCTCAAAAAAGTGCTTATCACCAAGTTCCCATTCTTCCAAAGGAGAAGGTATACACAGCCTTCGAAGCGTGCGGGAATCTCTACCAATTCACACGAATACCATTTGGAGTCACAAATGGTGTGGCGGCTTTCCAGCGAACTTTACAGTATATCATTGATTCGGAAAAACTGAAAGGTACATATGCTTACTTAGACGATGTGACTGTATGCGGAAAAGATAAGCAGGATCATGATGATAACCTTCGCAAATTCATAAAAGCAACTGCACCTTTCGAAAGACTAAACTTAGATTTTAAAGGGCCGATTCCATCTAACACTCAAAACCGATACATTTTAACAATAATCGATGAATATAGCCGTTTTCCGTTTGCGTATGCCTGTAAAGATATGACCTCAGGAACAGTCATAAGTTGCCTTAAAGATTTATTCTCCACATTTGGTACTCCGGCTTATATCCATTCCGATAGAGGAAGTTCATTTTTATCAGATAAAATAAGACATTTCTTAACCTCACTCGGAACATCTTGCAGTCGCACCACCCCTTACAATCCCCAAGGAAACGGTTTGGTAGAGAAGCTTAATGGTACGCTGTGGTGAACAATTCAATTACATCTCAGATCGAACAACGAAGACGTTGCTAACTGGGAGAAAGCTTTGCTGCCAGCGTTACATTCTATAAGATCCCTTTTATGTACGGGAACGAATGCAACGCCTCATGAGCGTATGTTCAACCATCCTTGTCGCTCGATAAACGGCCAATCTTTACCAACTTGGCTTCATTCACCTGGACCTGTTTATATAAAGAAGAACGTAAGGAGTTCAAAATATGACCCGGCTGTAGAAGAGGTACAGCTGTTACAAAGCAATCCTGAATATTCTTACGTTCGATTAGCAGATGGGCGAGAAACTACAGTCTCTAATAGATCCTTAGCGCCACTGCCACAGGTCGTTGACGACGACTCGTCGGACGATGAAGAGCAATTAGAAATGGAGGAGGTCCCTTCCAACGAAGCTCCACCTGCTAGCCCAGAAGTGGAGAGTACACAAGTTCGTCGCTCTGTTCGAGAACGCAAACCTCCGGCCCACTTTCAAGATTACGTCTCTTCATAAAAAGGGGGGGGGGGGTGAATGATGTGATCTCCTTGTTAAGTATGAAGGTCACATGTTATTTAATTACCTTCTTTATAATATTAGATAATATTATGACATTGTCAACAGTGTTATACTATCAAATTGTCAATGCCTAATTATTTACTATGTCTTATTTTATTGTTGAATAAAGCCAATATTCTATTTGGTTCTATCATTATCTGTATCAGGTACCTTCATTAAGAAAAGCATTATTGACATCGGTTCATAATTCGCGAAGATATCGCTTAATACTTATCTAACATAACTATTTTAAGTCGATCAAAAGTTGATATTATGCAATTATTTTTGCAACAATATGCTCGTTTATATTTAATTAAATAAGTAATTCGGTTAGTAAAGTATGCTTTTTTTTTCAGGCAAAAAATATGTTAGGTATGAACAATTTGAAGTAAGCAGCCTTTGGAACGAACAAAATAGTAGCACATAATATTTTTCTTTATTTAAATAAACAGTATTATTTAAATATTTGTATTTTTAATTTCTTACAAATATTTTCTTTGCTCAATACTTACAATTAGACATTAAAATGCAATATTTCAATCACAGTACAGTCATTTATTATGTTTAAAATAGAATTTATGTATAAAATTTATAAACATTTTACATAGTCATAAAGGATATGTCTTAAATAATATATGATTAACATATAATAGGTGCACTATAACTTTAAGGCACAGTTTATATATATTTTATTAGTTTTGTCGTCTATAATGTGGCTATATAGTCACTACCAAGAGACACATAAGCTATTAAATTCGGAGGAAGTGGTAATTTGTTCCATAAGTCTTCAGATACTGTTTGTCTTATTACAAACCTGCAAATCTTTTGTAATGAGTCTAATCTTGCAAATCTGAAAAAAAGTTAAGTTTCATCAAAAAAAGCAATATTTAATTAAGATTATTTTTTTGGACTCGTGGTTGAACATTTAGTTATATCATGAATAAATAAAAATATTTACTAATATATATTTTTAGAAACAACAGGTTAACTGAACACCGACAACAGCATATTTTCTCACATTTAAGGTTGAAGGAGGCTTAATGTATACATCCCGGGGGAGAAGCCAACTCCTACCGGGCGCGTCCCCAGGTGGCGGATAGGGGAATGCCACCCGCTTAGGGCGGCGGGTGGTACCGGAGAAATCCGGCGCGGACCAAATGGCTTGGGTGGGGCCGCTCGTCTAGGCCTCGAGCCGAAGACGTTGCGGCCACCGGTGGTGGGACCGTTTGGTCCCACAACCGGATGATGGGTGCCGGTTGCGGGACTGTGGTCGCAGGCCCGCATCCGGCGGAGGAGTAGGCCGCGGCGGGAGAGGAGTGCCGGTATTTCGGTGCGCCGTTCTCCCTACCTTCCGCGGCCTAGACGGGGCCGCCACCGTTTGATGGCGGACGCGGTGGGGCTGCAGGGGAAGAGGAGTGTCGGTGTGTCGTTGCCGCTCTCCCTGTCCTCTGCAGCCGATTGGAGGTGGCCCACTTCGGTGGGCGGAGGTTAGGTTTAATGGGGCTGCTCCGGGTACCTCTCTGGCGTAGCAGAGTTGACTGTGGAGCAGCCCCATTGGTTTGGTGGTCTGCCTTTTTAGGCAGACCTGCCGCCGGGGCGCCGTAGTAGTTATGCGCAAGCGATCCTGCGGCGTCCCATTAAGGCGGAGGGGAGGGGAATATCGGGGAATGTCGGGTTTTAGTGGGTAGTACCGGCTCTTCTAGCCGGTGAGCCCCACATCACCACCTGGGGGATCAGGTGGTATGCGTAAATGCATTTCCCGACATAAAAAAAAAAAAGGCTTAATGTATACATATTCTAAATCAATCAATCAAAAAAATCAATATATCTATTTTTGGAAAATCTTATTGAAATAGTCATTATTATCGAAACAGAGACTGAATCTATAGTTTTTAGAATTTTTGTCTCTCTGTCTGTGACCACACCCACGAGAAAACCACTGGACAGAATTTGTTGAAATTCGATATGATGACAGCTGGTTATCCGGATCTACATATAGGATACTTTTTATATAATATAAATGCATATAACTACTCATAATTTTTTTACATTTATTTAAAAACCTAAATAAACTAGTATATTATATAGTAAATATTCTGCAAATCCAATAATATTACAAATATATGAGTCTGATAGATAACCTATTTTATTTTGAAGTCAATAAAAATGAATGTCTATCCCTTAAACCTTCACCTGATTGACATGAAATAGTTTTTGTAGGATGTAAATTTTTGCAGGTAAGATAAGAATTACACCTGGGTAAAGCAATAATATGTATGCTTAAAAATATATGTCTCACAAACTATTTAGAATCATTCATACCTGTTCAAGGGCCTTGCTAGTTTCACTGGCATTTCAAACAATTTTGACTTTACATCTACTGTGGCACAGTGTTCTGATATTCTATTAGCTGGGACAAATGTTTCATTGTTTAATGAAAAAAGGCCATCAGCATGCCTTAGTCGAGCATGAAGAGTACGTCCTACACAACGAAATGAAACACACAATATGTGCCTAGAGTCATAGGAGTCTCGTACTAAGAAAACATTGTCATGTTGTCCAGCTAAAAGTTCTTCTGCCTCACTTGATGTAATTCCACCCCAGTACCAACCATGTCTTGAAAGAAGATTAAAAATAAAATATTATTTTTTTTGTTACATAATCTTTCGAAAACTAAATTATTATTTTTTTAAGTCAATTTTTTTATTAATTTCTGACATAACACAAAACATCATACCTAAATTATTACCACAGTATTTCGAAAAAAACATAGTTTTACTTTCAAAGGTTAAACTTACTTGGAAAGTTGGCAGTATATCGCACAACTTTCAACTGAGGCATGTTGATGGTGTCCCCGAAGAACAGAATGACCATCAGAATGTTGACATTTCATGTACATGTTTTCTAAATCAATTTCCTTCTTAGTTTCACTCCTAATTGGCATTATTTGTTTTTCAGAAGAGATATCGGCTCTTTTACTATAATTACATAAATATTCATCATCGTCGTTTTTATTACCAAAATATCTCTGCAAAGATCTAACGCTTCCAGTGATAAGAAGCTTATTTTTCCAAAATTTTACGAACTTATTAGTATTAACTGGAGCTTTTCGTTCTGGTAAAAATACTGTATTTACGATGTCTGTACTGCTAAAATCTCTTTTATTATCGATACTTCTTTGTAAATGTTTACATTCCATTGGTTTCAACCATTTTCTGAGACAGCCTGTAGCAAGCCATTTTCGTCGATTGCAATGGGTACATCGTTCATAGTTTTTATTCATTTTAGTACTCGTTAACAATACAAACAATATTGAATTGTTATAAACAAAATCTTGCGAGACTCAATAACACAGAAGTTCTTTCGCTTCTTGTTTAGACTTTAGGTTTAGCTGAAATCTGAATGCTATTATTTAATGATTAATCTGTGAAACGTGAGTTTATAAATAACAAAGTTGTAAACAGAGTAGGTATGTACAATATGTAGTATGTACCTATAAATTATAATGCTGCGTATACACCGGCCCAACAAACGCTAACAAAGGATATTCAGCGTTGGCTACCGCACGTTCGTTGGGCTTCGAAGGCACGTCTATATACATTTAGTGGTCGAGCAAACGATCGTTGGCACCTGATTCCGGCTTACATTCGCAATTTGATAATGCACGATGACGAAATAATTATAATTGCTGGTTTTAAATTAAGTACCTTTACGAGTTAGCAAGAACAAGAAAAATTTAACGAAAGCGGAGATGGTGGACAACCACATATTTTAAGATTAGAAATGTCTATGTTGGAACTTGGAAGTAAAATGATTGCAGACTTATAAGTAGAAAAATTATATCGTTTGTTTGACAACTTTAGCAAAATGTTTTTTCAAGATTATGAATGGTTGTTGAATAGTATTGGACCAGAAATATCAAAAAAACGTCAAGCAATCCGATCTTTCGTTATCCTTCGGCGACCGTCCACACTGACTTCGATGTAAATTGTAATCGCAGGCACACGCCAACGAACGATCGTTGGCGCATTTGTTGGGCATGTGTGTACGCAGCATGAATCAAGATTATAGATATATTAAAATATATGCGTGTGATAAGGTAGGTTATAGATATGTTCTATGTTCTAAACAATAGTAAGAGTTATTAGAATACGTTTAATATTGAAACGACTAATATATATTATATTAAACATGTGTGGTAATTTACTCTGTGGTAATAAGTTTATTTACATCTGTGGAGTAGTTATCACTCGTATCTTAAAGCGGCTACTCACATCCCTGCCGCAGGGACAATCTAGTTATAGATTCTAGGGTGTAAGAGTGGGGATGACCCTTAATTGCCACCTAAATTGTGATGTGTATAGTCGAACAGGAGCCATTTTCTAGATTGCTCCTGTGGCAGGGCTGCAGGAGTGCGAGACCACCCTTGGTCCCTAGATTGCCTCTGCTGCCCTGCCGCGTCGTGAGTAGCGATTGGGCCAATTTCTCTACCGATTTTTTGACAGTGCCACTTAGGATTTTCCTTTAAATTTAGGGGTAAAAGAGTTGTACCGGGGTTTTTTCTTCAATAGCATGACTTAAATATAAATAACGTTTTAGAAAGTTTCTTTTAAAAGCTTAAAAAAATCATATATTTTTAAATTTAATTTGCATCATTTATCCTTTTCTTTTAATTTTTATTTTCTAAGTTATCTATGTTTATCATATAATTAAATGGTTATATATAATAATTATTATAATAACCATAAATAAGTTTTTTACGCTACTTGTAATCATTTAAAATAAAAAATATTACAAATGAATATCTGACGACACGTTTGGCTCAGTTTGTAGTGACCAAGGAACATTTTTACTCTAGGGAGGGTAGTGACCCTACTTGCTATGCCAGCGGTCGCGGGTTCGAGTCCCGCTGGGGGCATCCATTTGTGTGATGAGCACGAATGTTTGCACTTCAGTCATGGGTGTTTATATTTATAATATGTATGTATATAAAGTTATATATGTATAGTATATCAACTATCTAGTATCCATAACACAGGCCTCGTAGCTTACCATGGAACTAGATGGTGATGTGTGTTAATGTCCCAACATATTTATTTATTTTATTAAATGAGTATTAGATAAAAACCTACATTTTTCAAATTATCAGTTAGGGAGTTAAGGAATTTTTGGAATTACTCTTAGGGGGATAAAATTTCAAGTGTTGGCAGGACTGTCTTTTAATTTTTCGATAATATTGGGACCATTCTTAACGCTTGCGTTTAGCTCAACTTCTACCCGAACTGACTGAATAGTGAATACAGAATAAGTTAACAGGCATCTGTGTAGAGACAGCTCTGATATTGTTCCGACCGTCGTGCTTCCTAGAATCCCCTGCGACAGGGATGTGAGTAGCCGCTCTTATCTGTCTATTTCTGATAATAGGTACGTACTACATATTCTATAAAGATTAAAGTTTAATCTGTGAACTCAAGTGTATGGTGATTGGTGTTGTGAATTTTAGTCAATACTAAAATCTTAAATTATTAAATTTAAATGTATTTTTCCTTCTACATATTGTTGTATAAATAACTTTATTCAATATTTATTTTTAAAATTTTATAGTAAAATGTCTACCGTGTATAGGTATTGTGTGATATAAGAAAATATATTTTTCGTTAAAGTGATGACATTAAAGAAAATTGCGAAAATGTCAACAAAATCCCAAATTTCCAATGAATTAAGCGGTACGTATATTTATGAAATTCATTTCAATATGATTGACATAATTATTATCAAACGAAATGTGTTCTTTAATTTGTTAATATATTTTTATAATGAAACAAAATATTTTATTTTTTTAGAGAGCATCGGCAATGTTTTAGGGAAAAATGTTAAAATTCTTTATAAATCGCTTATTCGTATGGAATCTAGAGGTGATAAAGTGGATAATCGTGTATTGGTAAGTTAATATTTTCTTATAATTATATGTTTTTCTATAATCATACCATAATTATGTTAAGATCGTAAATAACTTAAATTATGTAACAAATAAAGAAAAAAAGTTAACTATTAGATGTCTGTTTAATTAATTAATTATAAAATAATTTTATTTAGCAGATGTATTTATTTAATTTTTATATATTAAACAAAATTATTGTATTAGGAAATGTACACAATGATGGTTGATAAATTTTAACAAGTGTTACTGATCAATTTTCTGGACAATAGCATGAGTCACTTAGGTGTGTCTCGTAGCCTATGTAATAGTTGTTTGTGTGTGTGGTCCTTATGGAGCATACACCTACAATGCACCAGCAGTGGTTATTTTAAGATGGTGATAATATATTAGATGTGACACTTGTTTAGAATTTAGATAGATGTTATCTTGAAAACTACATCATAGGTACTAGTGTCAACATAAATATAAACATCTAAATATGAATAAAATGCCTTTTTTTATTAATGGGAAAATTATAATTTACCTATTTACCTTCATTATATTAAAATCATATTTTGAAACTAAAAGCAGTTAGTATTTTATTAGAGTATTATTATAAAAAAATACACAAATTATTTTACTTTAAAATATTTAATATATAATTATTTGCCTATGTTCAAACTTTTTTTCAGGTTGTCACCCCATTTAGGATTTTCATTACAACAACAAAAGTACCAACAAGGGTAGGTATTAAATAATTACAAATATTAATTTGATGAATAAAAAAATATTCATTTTATTATTGTAATGGAAAAAATTTCAGTAGATATTATCTACTGAATTCATAAAAGAAAAACTGACAAGACATAAAAATTATTAAAAAATATTTAGGTAGGTTGGTATACTTGGATTTTATTGTAGGTTTCAAATACATTAGCAATAGCACAGAATTAGTTTTTAATGATGTGATTAAATTAGTACCAGTTGATTTTAAAAACCACTATATTTTAATTTTTAAAAGATTGATTTTCATTTGCTTATAATGTACTCATTGAAATAAAAAATAAAACAAATGAAACGATGTGCATGCTAAAACTAATCCTCAAGTTTTTAAAACAGGTTGACTACTTTATAAAAAATATATTATATATTCCATTTCTATCTTCAACATCTATACCATTTTAGTTGTAGATTACAAAAAGATCACTGTTAATATCTGATTGTTTGTGTTGGAGTATATTTTGACTATAAAGTTAAAAATTTCGCAGTGCTTTCACGTTGGAATGAATAAGTATAAAATCAAATGAAAGCGAGTCTGACTTAAACGCCCAGGGTTCCTTAGCATGAAATGTTAAATTTATGTTTTGTTTTAACGTCGTAATTTGTTAAGTAAAAAGTAAAATAAAGCATTTACCCATGTATAACATTAATTTTATTGATGGCATTAATAACTTTATATTTCATAGTAATAACACAGATTACATATTACTATACTAGTACAGATGCCTCCTTCCATACAATGAAATTGGACGACGCTAATTCATGCTATTCTTCGGTTTATTTTTGTTTGCTTGAATAGATAATAGATGTCGTTGATTCGCAAATAATTAGCGTTTTATTTTATAAATATTTGTAAACATAATGGTAAATATTGTAAAATTCATTGTGCATTCATAATATTTTTTAACCGTGATAAACAATAAATAACAAAAAGTGAAAGCGCTATCTGTGAATATACACTACGAACCCATCATCTGATTGCTGATATGTATTTCAATATCAGTATAATTACGTAAATTTGATTTCGAAAGTTTCCATTCACAAAAAATTAAATTAAAACAATAATATTCGTTTTTTAGATCTGTTTTTTATGTTTTGTTAATTTAACACCATTTTAATAAAAAAATCGATACATGTAACGTCGACTACTGATGTTTTCTTGAACTAATTTTTCATTGCTCGCTATGAGACCCCATGGTATTATCCACTATGAGGAACAAAAGTTACTTTTGCAGCCGAACGCGTGAATTGAAAAATGTATCTCCAAATCGTATCTTCAAAATAATTGTTGTTGAAAGTATTTTGGAGACTCTTTTATCTAAAAGTTAGAGTGGCTGGTTTTCGTACACACCCTAAAAAAAAATTTTCTTTAAATTAATGTACTGTCTTTAGTATTTAATTATTTTTTTTAAGTAGAGACCTCATATGCCATAATAATGATAAAATACATTTAAAATTTGTCAATACGTGGAAACGGTTAATACAATTATTTTAAATCATCAATAATATTTCAATATCTTTATTGTATGTCTTATTATTTACTTTAAATATTGTTTAATGTTAAATTAAACAGTTGATTCGATTTAAAAATATCTTTAGTGTGAGCTACGCAGTCCGGTGAACAACGCCGCGGTAATAGCTAGTATCCTATAAAACAGTAAATAAACATTGTTAGCCATTGAATTATGTTTATACAACAGTATGTTTATATTTTTTTCATTGCACATATAGATCGACAATGGATTTCACTTGATGGAGATAGAAGCGCTAGAGAGCAAGAAGGCGAATCATTTGTCGATAACGCTAATCCATGAGCACAAGCCGGTTTCAATTCTTATAGGTAAGCCACTAATTACCATTGTTTGCTTAATCAATTGCCAGAGACCGTGACATCGGAATTAATCAGCCGTTTTTCCTTCTAATAATAGTTGTAATTAAGTAACAAACATTCTTTTAAAGAAGTAGTTATATTTTGAAATAACTAGGTAATTAAATTTTAAAATTATAAGACAATATATCTTACTGTTTTCCCTTTTCTGAATATACATAAATTATACTACATATTTACTACACATATTGACAATTATGTATAAGCATTAAGCATATTTGCCTATATTATATAATCTGGTCAATGTTGAAAATGCTTTTTTTATCTAAAGGTTCCTACAGTTTTATGTACATGTAGAAATTTAAGATTACGTAATAAATGAAAGTAATATGAAAATAAAACAAAGGTACGCATACCTAAGTAACTATTGCGTATCGACTTTCAGGTGAAGAAGGCTCTTCGGAAGGCGTTATAAATGCCATTCACGCGTTGATAGCCGCGTTTGATGACTTATTTCCTAATGTACCTATGGAGGACATCGTATCAAAGGTTTGCTTAATACTTATTATATATTCCAAAGCCATGTGAACTTTTTTAAACTGTCGACTGCAAGGCGGTAATCATTTTTATTATTTGCTTAATTAGTTCGTTAACTCAACTTCCATCATAATTATGTTAATTAAAATTAATTATACTTGTACGTGCTTCAAGTTGCTACTCTAAATGGTATCGAGTTTCAGCTTATGTGTATTTATTATATTGTAGGTTAAATAATTAAATAGAAATATAATAATCAAGAGTCTCCCATAATGGGAACAAATAAAATTCAATAAGCTTAAAGTGCCTCTCAATCTTTTGTTGTTTGCGATATGTTTGGAGTTTTTTTAACATTAATTTAAGTAATAAATAAACGTTCCACCGCTAATATACATCACTACATAGTATAAAATAAAGTCGCTTCCCGCTGCCTGTCTGTCCCTATGTATGCTTAGATCTTTAAAACTACGCAACGGATTTTGATGCGGTTGTTTTTAATAGATAGAGTGATTCAAGAGGAAGCATGTATTATACGTTTATACGTATAGTATATAGTACAGAATAACCGAGAAATTCAAAGATTTCCATTTCATGCTAACCGTTAAAATGTACCTAGGGACGAACCCGAGTGAAGCGAGGGTGAGTGATGAGTAGCTAGTTAAGTATATTAGCGGTTGAACGTTTATTTGACTCGTTACTTTATTCATTTACTTTAACGGGGTGATTATGCTTTCATTTTACGGAAAAAATGTATATTTCATATACTAATATAAAAAGCATATGTCCGTAAATCTTGTTATACCCGTATATTATTTTTTTATAGTTTCGTTCCGAATATACTATCTACAGACTACAGTTTCCATATATTTGAATTTAATTCTTAAAGTAGATAACTATTGCAAAATTGCTTTAAGGTAATAATTAATAATTATATAGTTTATATGAAAAAGTAAAAGTTTTGACAAAAACTAATTTTGTAATGGTTGAGATTTATTTAAAATAACAATACGAAATATCGTGTTGTTCCACTTCATTGAATCACATAATATAACCGAATGTGGCATGACTTACATGAAAATTTGTTTGCGCCAAATATTTCTGCAATACTGTTACTTAAATGAAATTAGTAGGTATCGCTGTTTAATGAACCTTAGAATTTCAACGCTTCGTGTGTTTATAATGTATAGCGTAAAAATGTTCATTGCGCAATTATAAGACTTATTTATATTTCTCACTAGCTGATCCAACAGACGTTGTACTGTCCAAATTTACTATCTTTGAGTTCATGCAAAAATCATACAAAAAAAGCACTTTCCCAAATTTGCCTTTTTTTTTGGCAACTTTTCAATCATTTCCAACATAAAAATTTTACTTTAATTATTAGGAAATTAAAAGAATGGCCAAATCGGCCAGCCGCTCATTTTTATATATATATTACAAGTGACTCACCCTTGCTTCGCTCGGTTTCGTTCCTAGGCAGGTTTTAACAGTTAGTATGGAATAAATAGACTATACATTATATAATATATAACATATAGCCTTCCTCAATAAACGGGCTTTCTAATGCAAAAAGAATTTTTCAAATCGGATTAGTAGTTCCTGAGATTAGCGCGTTCAAACAAACAAACTCTGCCTCTTTATAATATTAGTTTAGTATATTCATATTTAACTTGTTTCAGGTAAATTTACCATTTCCACTGCAGCCTGTTAGTGGTACGAGAAAACATTCGACATGTGGAGATTTTTCCAATCAATATGCCGCTATGTGCGATCTCTGTCAAACTCCATTTAGGTAAGTTTAATTTTCTGATATACAATGGTATTTCTTCTGATATAGTTGTATACTTTATACTTACGATATATTTTTATACCTCTGATATACTTATATTCTTACTTTAATTTAATTAGTTATTAAAAACAATGAATTTACTAACGGTTTTATATATTTTTATCAAATAATAATATCAAATTGCTCAAAAACAGCGAAAAAAGATTCGATTAAAAGTTAAAATAAAATCTTGATAAATATCAAATTGTTTAGATATGAATAGTTATCAATGTACCATAAATATTCGAAATGAAATCTATTATGGCTCATATAGATTTCAGACGGAAATTCTAATATTGTTCATGCGACATGTTAATAAAAAATGGAAAAATACATTTAAGATGATGACAAAATATAAGACACCTTCACTTTTCTCGATTTGAAATTATTGTAATCTGGTTTGTGATTCTAAAGGAGTAACACCACCCCTAAAAGTGGAATAATTACTGGATTATTTAATTTAATAAAGTTATTTAGATTTCTGCCTTTTTGGGTACAAAGAAATAATTTTAATTTGTTTTTTTACAGAGCGGAGGTAGCGTGGGATATAGACACAATATATTTGGCGCATGACATCAGAATGCTCCATTTGAAAGACTTTGACCACTTGGATCAGAGGTACATACTATATTTTGTAAATGTAATAGAACCGACCTTCAAATGATTGTTTCATAAAAATATTAGATAAATTATTGGAAAGTGCTTTTTTTGTAATATAAAACATAATGCCGAATGTTCGATGTCATCAATCGCGCAATCACTAAGTGTAGTAATAATTTAATCATTAATATTTCACATAAAATGTACCTATTAACTTTAAAATCATCTTCTAATAAAAAATAAACTTCTCATCTTATAGGTTTCCCATTCTGTTAAAGAAATTTGTTTACATAATATGTGCAGTCGTTATTAAATAAAATTACTTCTTCATACTGAAACAGCTGGAAGGATATGGACCAAATTTATTTCATAGATATACCTAGAGTAACATATAAGCTAATGTTAGGCACTTAGGAATATACCTTGGTGGAGTAAGAGTAAGTCTCTAGCCTATTTATAAATATAATAAAATTCTAACTAAGCCGGATCTGTACATTAAATATTTTTTTGAAAATCTTATTGAAATAGACATTATTATCGATAAAGAAGTTGTATCTATGATTTTTAGAATTTTTACCTCTGTCTGTCTGTCTGTCTGTGATCGCATCAGGGAAAAACCACTGGAAGGTTTTTGATGAAATTTGGTATGATGATAGCTGGATATCCGGGTTGTTCATTATATAAGGTACTTTTTACTTCGGGAAAATATCTCAACTCTGAGAAATTTATACTAGACGTTCAAACATAAATAGGGATGAACCGGAGCGGAGTGAGGGTGGAACGCTAGTATATAATATTATGGGAAATAACGAGTATAATTTGCATATTGAAAGCGTATAGAGGCGATTCTATTATGGTTTGATCGTTCATTAGCAATAATAGCATGAGTAATGCACAATATGGGTATACACTTCAGGGACCTGATCCCGCTAGTGATGGCGCTGCAGCACAACACGTGGTTCGAGGGCGTGTGCGGCGACGGCGTGCGCGTGGGCGGCGAGGCGTGGGAGGCGGTGGTGCGCGCCGTGCGCCAGGCCGCGCCGCCGCCGCGCCGCCTGGCCTGGCGCGCCGCCGCTCTGCGCCAGGACCACGCCGCGCGCCTGGGCCACGCGCTCGCGCGCGCCAGGCACACGCCCGCCATGCACACGCTGGACCTCTCGCAGAACCATATCGAGGATAAAGGTTGCTCAGCTATTGTTTCGGCTAATTTATTATTATTATTTTTGTCTCGTGGCTTTTAGGTTTGTTTAAGTGATTTTGCGTAATTAAACTTGCCAACGTAAATGCTGTCAAATGCGATGGTTTGCAAAAATATCAGTTTTTCTGCCATTTCGTATGAAGTTACAAGTATATCTAAACCAACCCTAAAGCCATTTCCCAGCCGTCATATTAAAGTAATTCTGACAGTCGTGTCCTTTATGGAGTAGTTTGTAATAACATTATGGATTTCTAATCAGGAACTCAACTAAAATATGTCACTAGATAACGTTACGTATACCGATTTGTTATTAATTTTTCTATCTGTAATGTTAAACGTTTCGTATAACCCTTTTAACGTCCCACTGCTTGGCACGGGCCTCCGTTCGTTTGTTCGTAAGTACAGGTTGGCGGACTTCACATGTCTTTCGAAAACTTGCTAGGTTCTCTCAGACATGCAGGTTTCTTCACGATGTTTTTCTTTACCGTAAGAATTAAACGTTTATATAATGCAAATAGCATTGACACGCCACCACTATAATGTCTCCTGCTTTGCTATAACCATAATGGGTAAGGAGAACATTATCTATATATTAATACGTGAAGCAAAAATTTTGTACCCCTTTTTACAAAAAATGCGCGGACGGAGGAGTATGAAATTTCCCACACTTATAGTTTATATAGAGAAGGAGTGCAGAATGCTAATGTTTTTTTAAAATTATGCATTAAAAATACTTTAAATCAATAAAAAAAACCTTACACACACTGCCATGTATGTACACAACATAACATATATACTCTTTTGTTTATTGTTAAAGTCTGTGGTCAAATTGAGAATTATGTAATAATACGTTAAGCAAAAACTTTGTATCGCTTTTTAAGAAAATTACGCGGACGAAGGAATGTGAAATTTGACACAGTTAAAGTTTATAATATGGAGATATTTTTTTATAAAATACATTAGAAATACATAAAATTAATTAAAATAAATATTTTGTTTGTGAACCGATCTGTTTATTTTTCGTTTTAGTTTAATAGCTATAGTTTTATGAATAAAAAAATCAATAATAATCATGGTCTAGGTTCGACCACTCGGCGAACTATAGTATTAATAAAGGCACACGACGACACCCCCAGGCGCGATCAGCGTGCTGACGGGGCTGAGCGCCAACCCGGCGGGGCTGCGGCACCTGGCGCTGGCGCAGTGCGGCCTCACCGGCAAGGCCGTGGCGCACCTCGCCGCCGTGCTCGGCGACAGCCCCGCGCACCTCTCCACGCTCACGCATCTGGACCTGTCGCACAACAATCTGAAGGATGATGTTCATGTATGTTTTGTATCAATTTTGTTTATTATTTACATGTTTATTTGTTAACTAACGACTCACCCCCGCTCCATTCGGGTTCGTAGTTACGTTGTAACGTTTAGTATAGATTTCTCAGAGATGAGATATTTTCCCGCAATAAAAAGTATCCTATATGTTGACCCGGATAACCAGGCATCATCATATCAAATTTCATCAAAATCTGTCCAGTTGTTTTCTCGTGATGCGGTCACAGACAGACAGACAAAAATTCTTAAAACTATAGATTCTATAGGTCTCTGTATCGATAATAATGGCTATTTCCATAAGATTTTCCAAAAAATAATTAAAGTACAGATTTAACTCAGAATTTTATTATATTTTACGATCGGGGTAAATAGTTTTACGGAATTGAGCTTTTATTAAAAATTATTTTAATAGTTATTTTGTGCCTTAGTGATAATATTAATATACCTTTAATGTTTTGATTATATATTATATTAATATTTAAATAATCCTTTTTGTACTGTATTCGGTAATGTTTACCTTTTTTTTCTTTGTTTCAGAATCTATATAATTTTCTCGCTCAACCTAACGTGTTAACACATCTCAATTTGGTTAACACTGAAACTACTTTAGAAAATGTAAGTAATTTTATTAAACTGATGGCATACTTTCCACAAATGTAGGTTAACAGATTAGTGTCATTACTGCTTTATTTGGACGGACATAGTCAAGGATTATGATGATTGACAAAAGGATCCTTATATGGCTCAAGTCCATTTAAAAGTGATTTAAATTATTTTTATTGCTGCATTACAATGTTGGGAATTGGTACAATGACCGGAAAGGGACTATTATGTGTCATGTTTAGATTTTGTTTAGTAGATATGTATGTATTGCAAACATATTTCAAATTATTATCGTTAAATTTTTTCGATCTATGTAGTGATTGATAATAATATTAAATTATTGCAAATTATGTATATTTTTTGATAAATGTTAATTTTTTAATTTTGGTATATTTTGTATGTATAACTTATATGGGTTCTCGTCCATCAAATGGAAGGAATTTGGGCTATATTTTTTAAATATGATTAATTATTTACACGATAGAAAAAATACTATTGGAATCCAGCTCTTCTACAATGATGGATGATACATGATAAACAAAAATCGTAAAATCTAAAAAATAGATATAAGTATGACACGTGTAGACTTCGTTTAAAAGATAATAATAATTATAACTGAATTTTATCATCACAACTCCTGGCGGGGTATACATATTATATTGGAGAGTATATGTATAAAAGTTTTAACAAGTAATTAATAAATAGAATAATTATAAAAGCGGAACTTTGTATATATGTATTATGTTTGTTACTCCTTCACGCCGAAAGGGATGTGAATGAAATGGAAAATGCCTATTAGGCATTTTATTATTTTTACTTACTTTACTTATTTACTTTTAGCCCTATGAGGCCTATCACAAAATATACTGCGTTCTATGGTATTGAGTTCGAGCGGCCGACGTATTGGTTTCTAGAATTTTCTGCATTTGTAATTACGTTTCTTTTGAATTGTAATATTATATTTACTTGTATATGCTAGTATAAATTTTACTTATAATATTAATGTTGTAAGATATATTTAAAGCTGATTCTAAACGTTTTTAATAGTTTTTTAGATTTTGAAAAGGATTTTTTTTGTAGATATCCAATACATATTTTCAAATTCAGAGGCCGCTATAAAGTCAACCATTGTATACGAGACATTATTGTATAATTTTCATTTCGTTTGCTTAGTATAGTATCTATTTCAATCCATGAGCTTGAAAAAGTGCCGTCGCAAATGCTATTAAAAACTTGCTTCTGAATTTTGGCTTTATTTCAATTAATAATGAAAATTTGCGGAAAGCTTAGCCACTATGAACTATATTAATAACTATTCTCCACCATACAATAAAACGAAATTGTCGAAGAGTTTCAGTTGGCGGGCGTTAAATTAAAAAATGACGGTCATAATGTAATAGGGCTCTTAATACTGTATGTGTATAACATACTCAGAAAGTGTTATACTCGTATGTCAAAACAAGAGAAGCGTATGTGAGTGTATGACATGTCCGGTGTCCGGTGCCTGCAGATGTGGGGCGCGCTGCTGCGCGGGTGCGCGGCGCGGCTGTCCGCGCTGCTGGCGGGCCGCAACCCGTGGTCGGCGGCGCGGCGCGCGCGCGACCCGCCGCCCTCCTTCCGCCAGTTCTTTACCGCCGCGCTCGCGCTCGCAGACCTAGACTTCTCCTATTGCAAAATGCCGCCCGATGCTCTCAAGTAAGTTTTCTTTACAGTTTTGTTATGAGTTGTTTGTTATTGCCATATTTTTGTATGTTTATCTGGTCAATGTATTTTGTAGTATAATTAATAGGCTCGGCCGACCGGCTTCACGGTGTTGCTTTTTATAATATGACAGTCGGAAAATATTTGCGATACAAATTTTATTTCAATGTCAAATAATAATCGGATAACGTCATAGCTTAGCAACATAAGATGCATATCATAGCACTAATTCTTGTTCTTTGTCTTTTTTTATATTTACAGAACAATTGATACTAACCATATTATGTTACGTTCATTAAAACAAAAATGCAATATGCATGCGCTAATATAAATTATTACATTATGTTTATTATTTATTTATTTGAATTACCACATAATTATCAGAATACATAGAAAAATGATGGATTTTTAAAATATAACATATTTTTTCATACATGGTATATACATTTTCATAGTTTATAAGAAGCATAAGTCAACTTTATAATAACTTGTAACAAACAAGACATACGCGTAATCGCTAAAAAAAATCCCTACAAATACAAATGAGCCTTGCAATGTGCCTGCAGGAGCCTCCTCCTGGGGCTGGCGTGCAACGAGAGCGCGGCGGGCGTGAAGCTGAACCTGGCGGGCGCGCTGGCCTCGGCGCAGGCGGCGCACGTGCTCGAGTCCTGCGTGCACGGCGTGCGCTGTCTGCAGGCGCTCGACCTGTCCGATAACAGTTAGTCATACATGTATAGTATGTCCTTCTGTTCGATTGCTACGGCGACCGATCTCACTAAGACTAGCCAGCTGCTACGCAGGAGATATTATAGTACACAAGTGCTTTAACTCTCAAATTTCGATGGGATGATACCTCGACACGCCCGGACGTCCGATCTGTACTTACGCAATTCGAGACTTTAAAGACTTTTTTGAGGACACTGACTTGAGATGCTGACCGTATCTGTATAGTAGGTGTAGTTGTACCTTGGCGTTTAGTATATCAATGATTATAGTATAAAAGTCCATACAGTAGTCGATTCGAGAAGGATTGTCAAATTTACCAATTTTCATGTCACTTTATGTCACATTTCTTTGATGTATTGTCACGTCAGCTTTAAATTGCAAACAAAAATACCGAATTCAAATTTTCATAAAATGATATATTTTTATTTCAACAGGTATGGAATTTGAGTTGTCCGGTATAGTGAGAGCAATAGGAAAAAATCATTCAATAACCCAGCTATCATTGAGTAAACTCACAGGCAAAAGATCTTACGCTCCACCGTTAATACAGGTATGTGTTGAAATGTCATGTATATTGTAACTAAAAATTCAATTTTTCCAAATATAGTTAAATCTATAGATATGCGATAAAAAGTATATTATAATGTTTTAAAGGATAATACCTTATTTACAGGCTTTAGTACATGTGCTCCAGGAACCCGACACAGCTTTGACTTCTTTAGATCTCAGTGATTGTAAACTTAAGGTAAATTAAAAGTTATTAAATATCACTAGCTGTTTTTATATTTTTGTTTGTTGAGTAGTTGGAACTGGAACTGCCTGTTGTGCACTAGCATTCGTAATAATTTTAGTATATTAATAACGTGCGCAGAGCGACCTGTACGGGCTGCTGAACGCGCTGGGCGGCGCGCGGCGCCTGCGCGTGCTGGACGTGGGCGGCAACCTGGCGGGCGACGCGGGCGCGCGCCTGCTGGCCAAGGCGCTGCAGTGCAACTGCACGCTGCACACGCTATATATAGACCGGAATGCCTTCAGTTTGCAGGGTCAGTTGTTATATACTAGTGTACTATTTTCATTATAGAATAGTGCGAGTGACACTTGTCAGTTCCATAATAAGATTGGAAAGTGAACATATTTTTTACACTTATATTTTATCGAAGATTAGTGATCAAATCAATTTTTTAGTGGAGTTTTAGTGATGCCAAGTCATCCGACAATTTCGAACTGTAAGCGACCTCAGTGCACGTTTGTAATATTATGTTTATTTAAACATTTTTTGAACATTTTTTCACATAAATGATTATGATTATTATTTATAAGTATATCTCTTTTATATTATTTACTTTATTTTGGTGCGGCGGCAGGTCTGACGGACATCGCCACGGCGCTGCGGCGCTCGGTGAGCGTGCGGCGCGTGGAGTTCCCCGGCTGCGACGCGGCGGCGGGCGGGCGCGGCGCCTCCGAGCGGGTCGCTGCACTGTGGCGCGATCTGCACGAACGGTACTGTGTGCTTTCATATTTTTGTATATATCATTAATGGTAGTGTATGCTTTAATATTTTTGAAATTATACATTTGACACGTTAGGGGAAAAATATGAACTTGCACGATGCGCGCGCAAAGCGACATAATTTGACTACAGCATCAAGTTAATCATTATTAGACTACAAGTACGAAGTTAGTCGTTAAACATCCCATTATTATAGTGGTAAGCGTAAATGCATTACCCAACATGAAAAAAAGAAGTTTACAGGTAACAAAAAAAGTGACATTTTTTCACATCTATTCATATAATAAAATTCAAACTAAGTCGAATGTGTACATTGAATATTTTTTACAAAGTCTTATTGAAATAATAATTATTATTAATACATAGGCCGAATGTATCGTTTTTAGAATTTTTGTTTGTGAAACAACCGTCTATCTGTCTGTCTGTCTGTCTGGGAACGCATCACAAGAAATTTTTTTGTGTGTGTGTGTAATTGGACGGAGTTTAATGAAATTTAGTATGGTGATAGCTGGTTATCCTCATCAACATTTAGGATACTTTTTCCTGATGGAAAATATCTCATCTCTAAGAAATCTATACAAATCTTAAAACGTAGGGACGAACCCAAGTGGAGCGAGGTTGAATCGCTAGTTATTTATAAATTATTATTTATTTATTTATTAAATTAATTATTTATTTTGATTATTTTTAATATATTAATTTTCTTTAAATTCAAAAGTTCTTTTTGTCTGTCGTAGCCATTTTCATTTATTAAAAATATTTTTTAATCAAACCTTTATTTAAATTATTGTATTTAATATCTTTATTTTATTATTTTATTTTAGTTATTTTTGTTTTTTTTTTATGCCAAAGAAGTGTAACTTCTTACATGCGTACATGAGTACACACACACACATTTTTTTATTTTATTACATATTATTATTAGTGTGGTTTCACTCTTTCATGTTTATTAAATATTTGCGACTCACCCTCGCTTCGCTCAGGTTCGTCCCTAGGTTTGACGCTTAGTATTAAACAGATTTTGTGTTCAAAATTTTTTTCGTGAATTTTCCGATCTTTTAATAGTTATTCTGCTATTCAGGGTGAAGACAAATCCAACAGAACAAAGGTCATAAAAATCGGTCCAGCCGTTCTCGGGTTATAAGTTTCGTTACAAATACGACATTGTTTTAAATATATAGATTAAAGCGTTTAACAATATGTGTGCGCAGACTCGGGCGCAACTCGAGCGCGGGGCAGTGCGGGCGCGTACGCGCGCTGGCGCTGGAGCGCGCGTGGGCGGGCGGCGAGGCGGCGGCGGCGCTGGCGGCGCAGGCGGCCGCCGCGCTGCCGCCGCCGCCGCTGCCCGCCGCCACCGAGCGCGCGGCCGCCGCGGCGCACCACCTGCTGCACCAGTACCTGCAGGTCTGCACTAGGGGCACTCGGCCCGGTTAATTTTCAGGGCTCTTTGTATATTTTTACAAAAAAATAAAAAAAATTAAAGAAGATTAACTAGTTGGTACATTTTTCAAACAATTTACATCATTTATAAATTATTTCTTTGCATTTTACAAAAAAATAGGTAATAATTAAAAAAAATTAAACTTTCTCAACATTTTATTCAAAATTTCGATAATAGGGCGGCATTTTTTACTATGCCCAGGGACGACGCTAAGGTTAAATCCGGCACTGCTCTTACTTTACTTACTTTGCTACTCCTGCAACTATTTGGATGGTCTAGTGGCAGGCTAGTGACCAAAAGTCCTGTCGAAAAAACTTGAGTTGGGAGGATCGCTGTTAGAGAGATGTTACCCTCCCGTCCCTCAGAGAGCACGACCTAGAAGAACATTATCATTTTATTGCATAACGAAAAAGAACGACGTAAATATTAAATTCTAGTATATAATATTTTTATATATTTATTTTTAAATAAAATAAGCTTTTTTAAAGTAACTTTGATGTCGGTACTCCTTTTTATTAATTAGTTGAGTATAGGCTATGTGTTTACAATAACAAAACCTTCATAGGTATAAAATTATTCAATGTCTGTATTTCTGTTACAAGCTTATTTCTCAAATGTATTCAGATGAAATCCAATCAGCCAATTGAATAAAGGATACAATTATAATGTACAATTTAGAAAAATGTATCTATTTTACATTTTTACAAATCCCACTGTTTTATTTTAAAAATAATAGGCCAAGAATTAAAATAAAACAGAAAATATGATTTCACTTACACCTCAGAGGAAAAATATTACCGAAAACTGACTTTTAACTAATATTTGGAACCCTCATCATGAGTGCGATTCATACTTGACCAACCTTTAATAAAAATAACATCTCCTTTCATGTCATATCTGACTCCTGACATACAGGTTTAAAATCTAGTTTGGGAGTCAGAGGCGTCAACAGGCTTCAACAGGCTTATGTAACCAACAAACAATTGTGTCAATAAAGGTATATTCTATTCTAGATATATCCTATATTCCTTTTGAAATGACATGTAAATTCCATATAGAGATGCAGCGAGGTGTTCGCGGCGATGGGCGGCAGCGGCGGCGGCGAGCTCGTCACGCTGCAGGCCGTGCGCGACGCCATGGCGCCTTGCAACGCTACATTGCAGGAATTGCTCAAGTACTTATATACTACTTATATTTTATTAGAATTTTACTACATCTAGTATATATAAAATTCTCGTGTCACACTGTTTGTCAGAAAACTCTTCCGAAACGCCTAGACCGATTTTTATGAAATTTTGTGTGTATATCCAGTAGGTCTGAGAATAGGATGTAAACTATTTTTCATACTTCTAAGTGATAAGGGTGGTCCACCCAAGGTATTATATGTAATCTTTTCACTACATTTTATATGTTACAGTCTTTCGCCAATCTGAGTTTATTTGTTCAAATACCTCTAAAAACACCGTCGGGATTTTATAGAGTTTGCACTAATAGAAAGGGGGATTATCTAGGAAGGTTAAGGATAGGGTCTATTAATTCATAAACATATTACGAAAATAAGATAAGGTTATATTTTTTGTATTAAGTCGGTTCTTTCTGAAATCTTGAAAACTTCATTCTGAATTTAATCCGTTGAACATTTACAGTGTAAAATACTTGCAAACATCACAAATTTAATAATATTAGCAACTACACGTGTGAAGGGCGCACCGAGGCAGCGAAACGTAATTACAAAATAATTGCGTTCGTTTGATCCCTTGCTGTATTGTTATTACCAAAACTTTAATTATGAAATTAATATGTAGGATATTTAAATATTTATTCTATAAATCATACACTTTAGCAACACGATTACTTGAAGATTCCTCGATAGAAAAAAAATTCAAAGTGATCTCTAAAAAACAAAATAAACTCTTAGTACGGCTTAAATAATTCAAGGAAGTTAGTTCATCAGTATTTTAATAATAAAAACTTTTTCTATAACATATACACTTTACATTTTTAAAATGTGTATTTGTATTAATAATACGAAGGAAACATCTAAATTCGCACGCGTTTCGTACATCCCAGCGACACCCCCCCTGCCCGCTGTTGTCCTACTAAAATTAATTGGCGCCAAAAGCTCAGTGCCCCCTTAATACTCAGTTATATGGTTCAGAAAGAAAGAAATAATTTACATTGGCATTCAGAAATGAAAAAGTTGTATAAAACTTTCGTGTTGAAGTCGAGCAATGCGTATTAATGTCGGTGCACTTGCCACTCGCCGCAGCGAGGCCGTGGAGCGGCTGGCGCTGGCGGCGTGCGCGGGCGTGGAGGGCGCGGACGGCGAGCGCGCGCCCGCCGCCGACGCCGACGTGCCGGACCTGCTCTCGCCCATATCGCACTCGGGGGTACGCCGCGTTGTTTTATTTATATCTTTTAGACGTCTCGAAGGTCATTATATGGTTATTATAGATAGTGCCTAATACGAAATTACAAAATGATTTCAAAAACATGGCACCAAAATACCTTACAATATTTGTTAATTTTAATTTTAAACATTTTTTATAATATTTTTTATTTTTTTTAATAATTGAATATGGAAATATTATTTATTTAATTTTATTGTCACCGTGAGCAAATCCTAGTATCTTATATTTATATCCATTGCTACACGAGATTATACTTTTGCTCATGTTCTAGCCGGAGTGATTAAGATATTAATGGGGTCAATACATTTTTAATTTTCATGCTATCGCAGAAATTGGATTATTTAAATTTGGTAAGGATTTTTGAAAATTTATTGTGAATTTTAAAAGTATATTTTTTTTCAGTATTGTTATTAAGGCATATACAAATATTTGTATTATTCTGAAGTTTAGTTATGTGATATATCGTATTCCCTTTCTTTAAACATATTACAGGTATTTATTAAGAAGCTTATAAAACAAGATTTACTCACCCTAAAAACTGATTGTCGATCAGATTACTCACTTATGTGACCATAAATCGTTACTAATATTATTCACCAATATATAAAATGTGAAGTAGCTGTTGAGTATTGATCTGTGAAGTAAACGATATGTAGCTGAACTAAGAAACCTGTATTTTAGCTAACAGCATCAATTCCTTATAACGAGTGTATGACGTACTAGCGATTCATTGTGTCCCCCATACAAATTTTCATCCCCATTTTTACCCCCTTAAGGAATGATTTTCGGGATAAAAACTGCCCTGTATCCTTTTCAGGGTCTCAAATTATGTTCTTACCAAATGTCATCTAAATCGGTTCAGTAGTTTCGGAGCCTATTCGGTAGAAACAGACAAACAAATGTTTCCTCTTTATAATATCAGTATATAAGTATATGTGAGGGTCGGTCGTGCCAGGCGACGCCGCTGGGGTGCCGGCGGCGCGAGCGCGGGCGGCGCGTGCGGCCCAAGTCCGTGGCGGAGCAGCAGCAGTGCAGCAGCAACGAGATGCTGTCGCTGCCGCCGCTGCACGCTGAGGCGGCCGACGCACTCGCCGACCTGCCCGCGCACACGCTGCGCCATCTCGTCAAAGGTAATAATATCCTTCTGCCCGACTTCGGCTTCGGTGGCCAATCTCCCTGTGACTAGCCAGATGCGCAGGAGATATTATAGTGCAGCGCGAGTACGCGCAGACACAACGTGCACTCTCTGTTCCTGTCACTCTCATACTCCAATGAGACGATTACTTTGGCGCGACCGGTGAGAGTTAAGGCGCAGGACCTACGCGAGTCTCCGAGGCACGGGGGTGCAACACCGCCAACTTCCCAACTCCGAGCTACTAAGTGAGAATATCTTTATAGAAAAATTCAGTAATTAAACTTTGTCCGATCTAATAATTCGTACGTATCACAGTCATTTCCCTCGAAGACTATCAGAAATGCGTTGATGATATTTGGTAGGTAAATGTGTTATGTACCAGGCACCGCTTAACACAAATTTAGAGGAATGGCGCTCCATACATTTATATATTACTAAAGTCGTAAACATTGTGGAAGGGAGGGATATATAGGGAGAGATGGGACATTCTGAAAAAAAATTGTGATAATAGGAATATAAATATGGGATATTTTTCCGTTCACACATTTGAATAAAATAATACATTGCCTTGTAAATTAATAACAAGCAGTACTGCCTCGCTATAGTTTTGTTTGTTACATATATTTACATGGTTACAAAATATCGTCTCTACATTTTTACAGACATGTAAAGTGAAAGTAAAAAACAGATAAAAAAAATCTTTTTATTTGTAGGTCGGCCCAGAAGGGTGAAAACCAGAGCGCCATCGCGTCCTGTCACCGACCAATCGCAAGATATAGACGAAGGTATAACAGGAAACAGTTGATTTTGAATCTAATCTAAAATAATAATTTATCAAGTCCTGTGGCGACTTTAAACTATTATGATAGGACCATACTAATAGCTAATACCCTTAACTATTGCGTTAATGGATTTCAAATGTTAGTGTAGTGGCTACACTAACGTATAATAATAATACGTATAATTGTTGTAAAGCATTTATAATAATACTGTTAGGTGTTAATAGTTACCTTCAGGGAGAGATTTTTTTTTACAAATCGTTAGGTTTAAATAAAACTCTTTAATACTGCTTGGGTCGCTCTTAATCATTCGAAACGTCGACAGTAAAAATGAAAAGCAATCTGCGCGCACTGTTATAAAAAAATATCAAATAAACAACTCCTTAAATTTTACTAGTGCTATTACCTATACCTTAAGGTTACCTGGAAAAGATCACTCTTTTAGCGATGAGATCGTCTCTTGTACATTTTCTAACCATCCATATTTTTTATTTTACTCTCTTCTTTACTGTGATTTTATTGTAATAAAGGATATTAATAACTCCTTCGAGCATGAAAATTAAAGTTATAATTATTTAGCTGTACACAAGAATGTGAATGCGAAGGTCTGGACGAGTTCTGGCGCACGTGCCGCACGCCGCCGGGCAGCGAGGAGGCGTCGCGCTCGCTGCACTCGCTGTCGTCGCTGGCGTCGGCGTCGCCCGCGTCGCCCGCCTCGCCCTCGCCGCTGCACCGCGAGCCCACGCTGTGCCGCGACGACACCATGTACGTGCCCAGTGCCCGCTCCTTATTGTATAAGTATTCATCTCAACTTCTAGTCGAGATAAAAAGAAAATAATTATTCGGGTATACATTTTTTATTACGATTTTTTATCGATAAAAATCGAAAACTACTTAACGAAATTATCTTAACACTTTTACTTTATTCACAACGATTCATAAAAATATATAATAATAATAACAGTCATCACGTAGACTATACATTAGACAATGTATAGCGAACACACATCAACTATACATAAAAAATCTTACTCTACGCATTTTCATTACGAACGTTTTTTCTTACTCCACGCATTTTCGGACGTTACGTTTTTTGCCGGCTAGGGTACCCCTCCGCATCATCCCATAAGGAACTGTGTTTAAAAAAAATGTGCCGCCATACGTCACCTCCTCGTTTTAGTTCCTCTCTTTAGTGGGGTTAGGTCCCGCGCACTTTCTACACGAATTTGTATCTTACTTAAACCTATGATCGTGGTCGTACGAATTAAATGCGCACATTGAATACGTTTTTCTCTCCTTCAAATAGGAAGTTTCATCCATTTTTAATTTTCGACGCGAGTGTTTTAAAATCCCAACAAGCTCGGATTGTTTTCTGACGTCGGAACTACACTATGTGGTTGCGACGAGATGTATGGGCTATGGATGTATGTTTGTTACTCGTTCGCGCACCAACTCCTGAACCCAAGGGAACGGAGCAGTAATCATAAATTTCAACAAATCGGGCAACTATAATAAAAAAAAAAAATATAAAATAAAATAAACAAAATAATATATGGAATATTATTGTAAAACTGATATTTATATCGGAATTTAAAACGCGGACGAAGCCGTGGGTACTGCTAGTTTTTTTTAATATAATTTACCCGTTCAAAATGTATGTATTGTAATTACAGGTATAGTGTTACATCAGGGGAGAGCACACCGGTTCTTTTAGAGTGTGGTGAGTTAAAATTGTTTCTTAATTCAAATAATTAAATTCTTTAATATTAAATAATATGTAGTTAATTTGTATGGCTAAACTAAAAAAAGTAGACAAAATGTGACACAGTAAGTAGTTAACGACGTAAATTACATATTATTCTAATTTTATACTTTGAATACTCAATGAAGGGAATTTCAAAAGTACATATATACAGATACTGAGTCGGACGTCATTTTCTTGTTCTATACTTTACGTTATTATAATTTACGTTTGTAATCAATTGAATTTTTGACAAAGGCTTCAAAGCGTGCTAGTTGAACACAGATGATTTCGCCAATATCACGTAGAAATTACATTTTTTTGTAACCACCGTATAATATTATCTATATCGCACGCTTAATCATATACTGACCGATTAGTGTTTCGGTCAAAATTTAGTTAAGTATACCAAGAAGTTTATTTTAACACCATCTTTCGGCCGATCTCGGAATTTTTATGATAGCTTGTTTCTAGGCGGAGTTATACCCATATCTGTCTCTTTCACACGCAAACGTTTCGGCAAATGTTTTTACGAGACAGAGACAAATATCAGTATGCGTCAAGCACTAAGATCGCGAACATCACGTGTTTTTATTTAAAAGTGTCAAATTAGTAATTAAGTCGCTTTAGTGTAAAAATCAAAGGTAAGTTTTATTGAAATTATTTATAAAAATGTGACCAATTGTTAAATATGCCTATTTAGTACAAAATAGGATCGAACTATTCATGAATTATTTAGTGTTAGTTCTGTTTTATACAAAAACATGTTAACAATTCTTTGACTGATTGTGTATTAAGCCTATATTTTATAAAAAACTTCCGTTTTGCCGGTAGTGTTTTGTCGGCTTTAGGAATTAGGTCAGTTTTTTACAAAAGTGTTCTTGAAATTTGAAGTCGTACTTTGTTATGATTCTTTATTTTATAAAACACAATTGTCTAGTATAAAATTGTTGAATGCATATTAGATATTGTGTCACTTATAGATAAAAATAATTTGTTTAAAAGAAATAAGAAAGTAACCTAACTTTTTTTCAGAATGTCTTCAAGATCGAAAAAGATAATGGAATTGATTAATTTTACAACTGAACCTGCTCATGATACAAAAGCTCAAATTCAAGATCCCATTCTGAACCCAGACCCTAGTCAATCTCCTATAGATGAAGATAGTTCAGTTCAGAATGATGTAGTTGATGTCGCGGTAAGTACTCGTAATTATTATTTTATTCTTTTGACTGGTTTCTCCCTTTTTAATATGGTATTTTTATTTTAAACTAGAATTGCGCACGCGACTTCGTCGCGTCTTTAAGTTTTCCTGTCATTCTCTATTTTAGGTACCCCTTAGGGGGTGTAATTGTGAATACTAGATGAATCATGTCTTTTTAAACCTTGTATTTCGTCATCTACTTTTGACGCTGACTATATTATAACTACCTATGTATGTACTGCCTGTCTAGCTATCTATCTACATACATACACACTTGCATGATTAAGAAGAGAAAACAATAAATTGTTTTTTTACAGATGTTACGTGATATTACTAATAAACTTGAAAACCAGCGTTATTACAATGCTACGGACTTTTTTGTTAACTACAATGTTTCACCCGTACATTCTGGTGAAATAAGTGCAGATATCAGCGACAATGACGATCCAACCTATGATAGTCAAATAAAAAAAAAGAAAATAGAACCAGTACATCCTTCATCACGTCGATCAACATCTAGCTCCAGCAGATCCTCATCCTCCAGTTTAAGCAGCTCCGGCAGTTCCAGCAGTTCCTCATCTTCATCTTCTGATGATGATACTGTGGTACAACCTTCTACTTTCGATCACGTGGATGATAATACTATCAATAACACAGATACTACAGCTAATGGACAGTCAACAAACGGACAAGAAACAAGTAAAATTGAAAACTCTGAAATGAACGAACTCAACATAGAAGAAGAAATAGAGATTATTAAGAAGAAAGGTAGAAAGCGCACAAGTAATCCTCAAAAATGGAAACAAAACTTAAATAAAATTCTAAGAAATTCTGGACGATCTTATGAGACTACGAAAAAGAAAACTGTTGCGGCTCGTGAAGTGAAACCACCTTGTACAGACAAGTGCAGGCTTAAATGTTATGAAAAGTTTACATCTCTTCAAAGACAGGCTATTTTTGATACCTATTGGAATATTGGTGAACTCAATCTGCAGCGATCGTTTATTCAGTCTTGTATGTCCGATGTTACTCCTAGGTATAAATATACAAACGCCATGCGCCCGAGGGAAGCTAATAAAGCTTTTCATTTTATAGTAAATGGTAGACCAATCCGGGTTTGTAAACCATTTTTTGTTGGTACGCTGAATATATCCGATCGTGTTATTCGTACAGTAATCCAAAAGTGTCAAAACCATGGAGTTTTGCAAAATGATCGAAGAGGTAAACACGACAACCACACCACTACTGATGAAACACTGATTTCAGACATTAAAACTTTTATAGACTCAATACCAAGGGTTCCGTCACACTACACAAGGCAAACATCTACTCGCGAATACATAGACGGGGGCAAAACTATTACAGATCTCTTCAATGACTTCAAGGTAGCGCAAGAGAAGAACAGTAAGCCCTATGGTAAGTATTGCATGTTTTACCGTACATTTACTAAGGAATATAATATTTCATTTTTTTTTCCGCGAAAAGACCAATGCGATCTTTGTCTAGAGTACACAAATTCAAACGCAGAGCAAAAAAGTATGATTCATGATAAGTATATAGCTCATATAAAAGAAAAAAAGCTAAGTCGTAATGAAAAACATGATGACCGTCTCAAAATAGACGACAAAAATAAAGTCTTAGTGTTCGACTTGCAGGCGGTGTTACAATCGCCACGAGGCGATACATCAGCTTTTTACTATAAATCTAAATTAAATAGTTATAACTTTACCATCACACTCTTAAACAAAAAAGTTGAACCCCAGATTAAAGATTCCTATACTGATGTAGAGTGCTATTTCTGGAATGAAACTGATGGCAAACGCGGTGCTAATGAGATAGGCTCCTGTTTATTGGATTGCTTTGAGAGACTATGTTGTGAAGCAGGGGTAAGTGCTAGTAATAGTGCTGGCCTGAACTTGATTCTGTATTCAGACAACTGCTGCGGTCAAAATAAGAATAAATACATAGTAGTGCTTTATCTCTATGCTGTAACCCATCTGAATATAGAATCAATCACGCACAAATTTTTAATTAAAGGTCACACTCAAAATGAGGGTGACAACATTCATAGCCTGATCGAAAAAGAAATTAAAAAGAACTTAAAATCAGGACCAATTTATTGCCCCCACCAATATGTATCCATCATCAAAAATGCCAAAAAGACTGGTCAAAAGTTCCGCGTACACGAACTTACATACGAATCATTTTTAGACCTAAAAAAACTGCAGGAAGATTGGGGATACAATTTTAATGAAACTGAAGATAAAAATGTTTTATCATGGAATGATATCAAAGTTATAAAAGTAATAAAAAGTGAACCTTTTTCATTCTATGTGAAAACATCATACAACAAAGATGCAGAATTTGCAAAGATAAACATAAGGAACAAGAGAAAAAAATTGAATCCCCTATCAGAGCTGACAACAGTAAAAGCATACACAGGCAAACAAAAGCTCGGTGAAAATAAAAAGAAGGATTTAAAAGAGTTACTTGATAAAAATTTGATACCCAATTTTTATAAAGATTTTTATGATACGATTCTGTAATCAGGGTGAATACTTGCAAGGTGATAAAAATATTTTGTATGTTAAGTTTAGTCTTGTAATGACTGATTAAGTGCCTAATATTGAGAAAATTGATCTCTTAATTAATAAATAAATACAATTAGGTATTATCGTGTTGTTAAATAGATGATAAGTGTGACTGTTGATATTTCCTTGAGAATTTTTATTCAGATTTACGGTTTGTTTTTAGATTATAAATAAAAACTGGTTCCTAATATTGTAAATTTAATATTGATCTCTTCGTTAAGTTTAATTCGTTAATATTATAACCTAGGATAAGTTTTTACTGCTTTATTTTATTAAGTTTATAAATTACATTATTAGGAGTCAAAGACTCTTTCAGAGTTGATTTTAAAGTGCCTACCTATTATATACAAATTGTGTACTGTGATTAAGTATTTGAATATTGTACTAGGATTAAGTTCAATTCGATGTTTAAGACACAGGTCAGCATTTTATTTGAACTTTACTATGTTTTTGATTCTTTTTATTAATGAAAATAATAAATAAAACGAAATATTTTTTATACTTATTTTTTATTTTATATACCTTATAGACTCATATCATAACAATAAGAACATACATTGAATAAAATACGGACTCATTTCTAAATATGTCACCAGTATTAAAATTTTACTTCATAGTATAAAGACCCATACCTTAATATTGAGTATTATTTAGTTATATATTAAATAAAACACGGACTCATTTCAAAATGTGTCACCACTATTAATTCAATGTAACTTTATCTTTTATATTAAACTGACGCATCTTGAGGAACAATTTTTTTAACCGATTAATTTATAGTAAAAAATCTAAATTTATTTAAAATTATATTCAAACATTAATACTCACTTTATCAACTATATCTACAATACATTATTTCATTATATAAAGCTATTTTCTTTGAGTATTATATTCCATTTTGTAAGGTAAGTCAGGTTTGCTAAATTGTTTTTCGCGATTTCCCGAAAAACGTCTTTTTTGAGTTATGTCAGTATATGATTAAGCGTGCGATATGTCAATAGAAGTATCCCGCTGCAAGTCTTCCGACAACGTGGGCACCAAGACCGCGCCCGCCACCCCGCCGCCCTCTCGGTCCTCCGACAACGTCAACACTATGGGTAAACATATTATTTATTATTTATTTTACACTTCTATATTATAAGTATTATTACTGTCACGAGTTGTGAGCGCTTTGATATCTTAAACAGAATAAGCTATTCACAATAGTATGAAAAAGGATGTTTTTAATATTTAAAGAAATAATTCAAAATGGTGGTGACATCTTGTTTATAACTACAGATTACGCTACGTAACATGATTCAAACTCTGGTGATAAATCATTAAATCGAAACCATATCCTAAAAGGATATGGTTCAAAAATAAATTTTCGTAATTTTAAGTTTACTTTATTTAATTTCCAACTAAAGACCTTAATGTCATTGTGCTCACTCCTCGTGCTTGTATTTCTAAAGGCGTGATTGTTTTGTGAGCGTGGTGTGAATATGCCAGGAGCGATCGTCCAATCGTCCATTCACTGCCTCTGTGTGCACTATCGGCTTGTCACTTGACGCTTGCGTCTGTACCGATACCCATGTAGTTCTAGCACTTGAGCTTCGAAGCTGTATACACTATAAGCATATCCCTAGGCTTGATCGAACAGCCTTAATATTAAAATGTGCAAGTATATTTGATTGACACACAACAAAGTATTCGAACAGTAGTTCTTCTATTATGCCATCAAGTCATTATAGTCTAAGAAATGTTACAAAAGGCACACCATAAATTAAAGCACAGTATATGTAAAATGTCTGTGCATTTTGCTTTTGTACTTTGCCTATGTAATTGCTTATTAAAAAAAATAGAAGTCCAAAAGATTAATTAATAGATAAACGATTTCAGCTTTAGAAAGAACAAGAGAGCATTCTGTTGGCACGTAATATTTGATACACTATAAAAATTAAACAATCTGTAAATTTTGAATTTAGCGAATTCCTATAGAATTTATTGATGGACAGATTGAAAATAAACTAAATCGTATAGAGTATTCTGCTTAGCTAACTGTGTGCGAGTAGCGAACCATACGTTTATGTGTACAGATGCGATTCTAAATTAAAAGAAAAAATTATAATAATAGTTTTAATTTTTAATTAACTACAAAAAAACGATTAATATGATAATACAAAAACAAAAAATATAAACACGCAATTCTGTACACATACACGTGGTCGTGAGTCCGTGTGTAACGTGGCTGCGGCCTGCGCAGGCAACGGCTGCGCGCGCGCCGGCGGCAAGGCGCGGCCCTGGTCCGTGGCCGGCGGCAACGCCGACAGCGCCGCGCTCTGCACCACAGGTGACGCACACACACACACCGCCTGCACGCTGTCGCGCGGGGCACACATACACACAAACACTTGTATTTTGGGCACACACACATATACACCTATATTAGGGGCGCATACACATATCCACTTGTATTGTTGGTTTTGTAACCGACTTCTAAAGGAGGAGGTGTTTGTTTAGGGGTTATGTTCTTCGCCTTGTGAATTAATTTTAATGACTCTATCATGAACCGCTATATCTGAAAATGGTCTTTCACATTTTAAGACTTTTTTTAACGCGAAGGATACTAAGGGTCACTCACTATTTTTTGAAGAGTTGATATCGGTTTACTTTACTAGTTACATGAAAAAAGTTTTTTTATTATTGATAATAATTATGTTGAAAGTTAAAATATTTTAATTTTTTATCAAAATTGGTTTAAATGATACTCTACTTTTAAATAATGTTAAGCATAAGATTATAGTTTAATTTTAAAATATGTATTTATGGTAATAATTATTATTATTTTGTCTTCTGTAAATATAGGTGTTGAATGGAGTTCTTATTATAATAATCTACTTAATTAAGAGTATATGCCATATGTTTTTTAATAAAGTTATTATTCCAATAAAATCCCTTTCTAAAAAATATATCGAATGTAATAATATATTTTATTTATACATATAAAAAAAAATGAAAAACGTATAGCGTGTACGGTCGATGGCTAGCGTGTCTAACAGTTGGTGGTGGTCGACAGAGGGCGTGGAGGCGTGCGTGGGCGGCAGCATCGTGGGCATCACCCCCGGCGCCGCACTAACCAGTAACACTCCACACGCTATCCTTTACTAGCGAGCCTAGAGCCTAGCCGTATAGCTCCGTATAGCATACCATAGTGTCGCTTTAGGTACGCTTGCTGCTTTATGTGTTTTGGACGACTTGTATATATATATAATTCTCGTCAAACTTTTTGACCGCCTTCAATTGAGCTAATAAAGAACGAAACGTTAAGGTATCGGGCGGCACCCGAGCGCTCGTCCAGCGCAGTGTGCATGACAAATCTGTACATAAACTACACGCACAACACATTTCAGTACAAAATTCTTAACTACGTCTTTATTATTGTTATAATAATATTTATTTTGTTACTTTTTGTTGTCTCTTGTGTTTGTGATTGATACCTTAACAGGCGTAAAATTCTGATGATTAAATGTATTTAATTTCCAAATCCTATTGAATGACTTTATTTATCGATATTTTAAAATAATATGAAAAAGTAATAAATAACAATATATATATATATATAATACTTTATAAACATATATTTATAATCGTATTTACTATAGTCCTCTCGAATGTATTTGCGCGAGGGAGGTCTTGCTAGCTCCAACTTCAGAGCGGCCAAAAAGTTTGGCGAGGATTATACAGATATTGGCACGAATCGTGAAACGGCAGTTACTCAAAAGTAATCAATGAAACCGTTTATTAACACTTGCGATAAGCTATAATGGCCTTTTTGACGTTTGTCTAAACTTTAATATTGGAAACAATGAATTTGAAGCTTTAAAAATATATTCTTATATTATTATAAGAGCGTTATGATGTAGTGTTATTGTAGGTGATAGCAATGATTATAAATACAGTACGGATGAAACTAATTAAATGATTAAAACTAAATTATTAAGTCATTATATGAATTGAAGTTAGAATATACCTATGTATATTATGTACTAAAACGTCTAAGGATATCTTAACTTTGACAGACAGATTGACAACCCACGGTGCGTCCGCGCTACCCTTAATTAAATTCACTCTCCCAAACATAACAACTAAGTTTTGTTTACGATTCGTGCGGATAATGTATTTCGAAAGCCTAATTTACATAATAATATCATGCATGTATGTACATTGTACAGTCGATATCGCGAGATATTAGCTTTGAGTTTTGTTTACACAGAGAAATTAGTTGAATGGCATTGGTTTCTTCCAAAAGTATACAATTTTCTATACTAATATTATAAAGAGGCAGAGTTTGCTCGTTTCTTTTATTTGAACGCGCTAATCTCAGGTACTACTAATCTAAATTGAAAAATTCTTTTTGCATTATATAGTCCGTTTATTGAGGACGGCTAAAGGCTATATATCATCACGCTATTACCCAAGAGAGCGGAGCAATAATCATAAATGTCAATAAATCGAGCAAATTTCCATACATTATTGTAAAACATTATTGTATTGTGTGATGTTTATATCGGAAGTTTGAACGCGGGCGAAGCCGCGGGTACTGCTAGTAATTTATAATTCACCAAATTATTTTCATAGTGTCGTGTTAAACGTGTATATTTAAAGTAAATATTTAACACGTGTCATTATCACGTAACAATCGCTAATGTCACGAGTGATTGATGTCAATATACCGTAATGTAAATTAGGCTTAAGGCTAGTGTGCACATACGGACAGCTAAGTCGAATATTAATTGTTATTAAACACAGCGGTTTGCTATCTTCTCACTAAATTGGATATGGTTGTTATAATTATTGTAATATATATTATGTGTATGCTATTTCGATGTTGATAAAACCTAAATATCCATAATATTTGTGAATTTACCAGTTCATGCATGTATTGTTGTCGCGTATTGCACTTAAGTGTAAAGAAAGTATGCATGATAAATACGTGTAAAAATACGCGGAGTAATTAACCGATAGTATGAGGCTATTTTCTCTAAACATACTATTAAGCATGTATATTGTATATCAATGGAATTAATAGATTTTTAACTTACTTAAAATATAATCAATTAATATCCTGTATTCTTATGCATGATGCGCTGAAATCTTCTGTAAATTACGTCACATTAGCTCTATGTAATGTTAGTGTAAATTGATAGAAGGGGATATTTTAAAAATTTAGTCACTCAGTCAGGTATATGTTGCATTTTTCCAAATTTTTAATTGTTATTTTGAACTTAAGAGGATCTGCATCGAGCAACGAGATATTTTATCTGTAAAAATGTTTACCTGTATATATATACTCATTAGGTATATGAATGAATTTTGGACCAGTAGAGGATAATATATTATAAAAGATCCATTTTTAATCAAGTTACTTTTCTATACATAATATGTATTATTCGAGTCTCTTTAATTAATGTCATTTAATCAAAAATAGTCAATGTAACGTAATTTATCGATCCCCGCACGAACTACTGACTAAAGCGTATACTAATTATTTTTTATAAATATTTCAGGTTCAATGATGCGCGATCATCCATTAACACCTGGTTAGTAAAATTAACATTCAAATTAAATATAAGAGAAATAGGTTATGATGAGGATGTTAATAAACTATGTTTATCGCTGGATCTATTAACAATCTATGCCTATTTTACATTTGTACATACAATGTACATAATATATAGGTAAATATATAAATGTTACATAATATAAACTTAATTAAACATATATGTATGTATGTCCTTCAAACTAGTTTAAACGATATTACGGATTTAATACAGCTTGTATATTCAAATAAGTACTTTCTATGGTTTTTTTACTTTAGAAACCTATGTTTTGATCAACTTCAAAAAAGGAGTAGATTCTCAATTTACGTGTATGTTTTGTTTGTATACTAAGTACGTGGAATTTACCAATTTACCAATCGATTTTAATCTTTGATGTGAAACTTCTAATGTGGCGGGTTAAACCGGCTGTTGGCGTGGCAACACTTCGCTACGTTGCCACGCGCTTGTAGAGTCGTAGCTCTCACTCTTCCCACTCGGCTCGGCGATCTCCTCCTTCCTCTCTCTCACCACGTTGAACTCTTATTTTATTTTTGGTATTAAATTAAGATGTATTTTTTAAATAAGAAGAAATAAGAATTTCGTTTTTGGTCATCGAACGCGGGCGAATGGCACGGCAATGCTAGTTTTATTATATAATTACTTTCAAAGCTTTTTTGTAATGGGTATGCTTTAATAATTAAAAGTATTTATGTAATAATTGTTAACAGATAAAAGTGCTGCGCATTTTACTATTCACGATGTTATATGTATTGATCACCACTTACATACACCTCATATTATGTAGTTGACCCCGAGTCTATTAATTAAAGCTAGTTTTTCACCCTTCCAATTAACTTTACTTTTTTTATTCGTAGGTTTAAATTAATGTGGATTGTTACAGAAGACACGGAGGCCTGAAGGCAGCACAAGAATATGTGATGAAGCTATCGTGATAAGCTGAGCAGGGTCACTACGGACTTACTCTCGTGCTCACTATTGTGCCAGTTAGATGTAGGCTCTAGTTACTCATCGACAACATTTCCTTTATTCCGATACGGGATGTTATATAGAATTTAATTAGACGCACTTTAAATGTCAATAAATATGAATTTATATGAGACTACAAAAGTCATTTCGAACAAATTGCTACCGACAATTTGACAAATATTATAATTTATGGGATATTTCTTATTTCAATACTCGTTCAAAGTGCGTCTATGCAACTGTGCTAATATTAGTTATGTATAATAAACTCCAAGTAACCGCTAGGTAAGGTATTCGAACCCTGTAATCGTTTTGTATTAACTGTGATGAGTTAGTATTATTTAATTTGCATAGATTAAAAATATTTTATTCGCTATATTATACCGTTCTATATAATATATTTAACGCTAGTTTAATTTTCGCGTACACTCGACTTGATCATGACTAAATAACAGCTTTTTTGGCATCTGCAATTTTTTTCTGCATTTATATGTACCAAATATATAAACTGTTTTTTATTTTATAATATAGGCAGTCAGTAACATTGTAATAAATAGTACCTATGTGAAGGCATCGACTTCCAATAAGCAATTTGTGAATTATTTTATACAATTATTTGTTACTGATACTGTGTAAGCTTGTTATTGTTCTTACGACTGGTACCACGTGATTGTGTGCCATATTTCTGACGTGTACTTGGTGAAGGATGTGAAGGAAAACTCCAATTGGTCTTACTAGTCATATTATTGAAGGCCTACGAATAACGCACAATTTGTTTTACAAATATAATAATGTAGGATTACGGATACTAATATTTCTTCAAATCTCTCATGATATCTTCCAATTTTACATTCCTTTGTACAGATTAGTGGTCGAATATTTCCAATGAATTGATCGTGTGATTTTTAAATGAAGTTCAAACGGCGAGTGATTCCGGTCGGCGGTCGGCGCCGCAGCAAGTAGTACTCGCCCCGTAAGTTTTAAGTGTTCATTAGAGTATTTATAAAAAAAATCAATTATTAATATTCCTTTATCTTTTCGAACATAAGGCTGTATTTTATTGAATTTTCACGTAAAATTAATGAAAATCGATTGTAGATGTACGATATACTATTCCTAAATTATTTCATAGTATTTTTATATTCATTCCAATTTATTCGGTTTCGTAGCTCTTCGGTACCAGACTGATTTTAGGTACTTTTATTTTATGGTGCAATTTATGTCTAGAGCGTTGTGATAATCTGTTTTAAATTACAATATATTATACAACTACTTCTTGTTTTATTTAGCTTCATATAATTATAGTGATTTCGTCAAAAGTAAGGAAGTATGTAGATTATACTTCAAGGGTGGTTCCATATTTTGGAAAAAATAACAGGGTAATAACCCTTTAGTGATTTTTAGTAAATAAGTCTTAAATTTGTTATGAGACTAAAAATGAATAAGTGAAATAAACGTACTTGAGTTTCTTTTACGACACATTAATTTATTTAACAAAAAAAAATATATTTACAGTTATTGTTCCATTTGAACAAAGATTATTGTTTATACAGAAAAAATGATATTCCACATACATTTTCAATATAAATATTACACACACTCGTTCCTTGTATGGTCATCAAGTATAAATAATTTTATTATAACAGTCAAAAGAAATTTAGATAATATGAAAATGTTTTAATGACATATAAAAAAGATAAAAATAAAATGCTGAGTTACTGCAGACTATTGTTATCTTTGATTCATCTGAAACATTTATGCAATTTACGAAAATTATAATCCTAATATAAAATTCCAATTTAATCAATCGTTTCTATATTAGGAAATAACTTTTATTCATTTTACTTTAAATTCTAAATATAAAAATAAAACTTACTTAACATTTTTCTAGTTATAGTAATTGAAATTACGACTAAGAATTACATATAAAGATTAGTATAATATCTATCTATAAAATGTCATAATGTGTAGTGTTTAAAAACAGCCTTCACACCTACTGTTGACTCTTCAGAGATCATCTTTAACAAAAGATTTATAACTTTGAAGAAAGTTAGCCATTTATAGTTCGAAAATGGATTATTTGACGACCTACAAATAGATTTTTGCTAAATAAATAAATTTAAAAGTATAGAGGCTGTTTAAAAAGGATAATTTAAGATAAAATTGGAGCTCAAGTACATCTTAGTAACAAAATGGTGTAGATATTGTTGTACTAGCAAAAGGAACTTATTATATAAATGAAATATACTTATACATACATCAAATATTGAATGAAATTAAAAAGGATTCATCCAAATAAAATATTATCCTTTTTAAAAAACCTTGTACATACATTGCCTAATAATTAACACGACTTTGATAAATGGAATATTGAATAGGTATATTAAAGCTCAAAACATCCGTCAAGTATACAAAGTATTTAATATACCTAATTCTATATACATATAAAGATGTTGGCAGTGGTGGCCCATTGGAAGCATGCTGGCTTTAGAAACCTTGTAAAGCAGATTCAAACTCCGGGTCATACACCAGAGATTTCATATGCAAATCTTATTCTCAACATTAAAAAGACAAAATTATTGTTATAAAGATGATAGTGCATATAATACAATATGTTATAGTGGTTACCGTGATCTATATTTATGTATACAGCATTGGTCTGTATAGTACTAAAATGGGATGGCAATATTATGTGACATAATATAATTTAAAAGAACTAAGTGTAATGATACTTTCAAAGGACTTTTAGTATGTTTATTTTTTTTTCTATTTATATTTAAGTTAGTTATGTATGTACTAAATTCAGTATTGCCATTGATTTTTAATCTATATAATGAAATATGTTGGAATTTTTATTATTAAATTGAGCATAACAAACACTTTTTAAAGTTTGTTAATTATCAAAAGTAAACAAAACATTTTTCAGATTAGCGGCTGATTAGCAAAAAAAGTAACATTTAAATTATCAGATAATTTTTGATTTGACTTTAAATGATATTTATTTGTATAATATAGGAATAAAAAACGCGCTCGCTTGCTAAACCGATTGAAGCGGGCTCAAATCCCAGATTTCGCACCTCTGATATTTGCATATGCGAATTATTTCCAACATCATTACCACTTGTTTTACGGTAACGGAAAACATCGTGAGGAAACCTGCACGTTTGAGAAAACCTAGCAAGTTTTCGAAAGACATGTTTCAGTCCGCCAACCCGCACTTGGCCAGCGTGGTGGACTATGGCCTGATCCCCCTTGTATTGAAGGAAGGCCCGTGCCCAGCAGTGGGAAGTTAATACAGGCAGAATACTGAATACAGAATTGGTCAAACTTAATGGGAGAGAAGAATCATTTTATTTTTGTAATCGCTAATAAATCATAAAAAAACATGAATAACTATGTATATATAGACTAAATGCAAACTTCGTCTTTTGTGAGTGCACACCCATTCATATAACCTTGAGATCTCTCGCCCAAAATCATCTTACTATATCTAAACTTACTTTAATACAATACAAAAATACGCCAAAGAAATTCACTGAGATATTTACAAAGATCTTACAACTTGTAAAGCATTGTGAACTTAAGTAAACTTCATCCTTCGCATTTTAAGTGTTTAATTTAAAATCGATTTTCATTTAACCACAAATGTAATAATCTCACTCTTACTTGCTATGCACTTGTAGTCAATGCCATTTTAAATAAAAAAGCGATATCGCCTCAAACTGTCGCACACTAAAATAGTTTGAACAAATCACTCGCGCAGTGACGTCTTACCGCGCGGATCAGGCGTTCGGCGGCACATCTTTCTTTGGTTCTTCCAAATTGCTTACATTTTTCACGTCGTCCTTTATGTCTTCAGCTGTTGAAATACAATAATATTAAAATTCTGTGTTGATCTATTAGACATCGAAGATGAAAAAGGTCTTATTTTGAATTAAATAATATTAGTACCAATTAATTTTCCAATTCCCATTTTATCTGTTAAAAACACTTTCTGAAATTAAATATAAAAGTCAAACTTTTAACACTGCTAAGTTTATGCAACAGACTGATATATGTTTATGCAAACACATGATGTTAAGTCTCATGTCTATCCATTGTTTATACCAATTGTACAAATAGTGTCGTAATTCGGACGATTTATTAAGATATATTTAAATAACGCATTGTTGAATTCAAATAAGTTTAAGTTGTCGTGGCTAAATTCGATCACGGTCGCCTATCTCGATACAAATAGTCCTATTGCATGAGCGATATTATTGTGAATACTCCGGTGGAAAGACTCAGATACTCCCAGAGCCTAAAATGTCTAAGTATAAAAGCCTAATTTCCTATCTTCTGCTTTTAAACATTTCAACATTCATACTTGGCTCAACACTGGGGATTTACTAACAGCACCTCAATGTTTGAACTGTACATGCTGGCCTAGACCAATAAGGCACTTAAGTGCCTCGGTGGTGTAGTTGCTAGTACGTACATGCGGAGGTCCTGGGAAAAGTTAAAGTTAAGTGAAGTGTAAATATTAACCTTTAACATCATCATTGACCAACATCTCCGTAATCATAAAAGGTCAGAAGAGCATTAAATTAAAACATTGAAGTGTAAACAGTAACCTTTAACATCATCCTTGGCGGGCGTGGCGTCCTTGTCCAGACGCGGGCGCTTGCGCTGCGGCGCGCGGTAGGAGCGGTTGTCGCGCCGGCCCTCGCCCTCGTCCTCCGAGTCGGACAGCTCGCCGTCACCCGTTATGCGTTTGTCCTGAGTTATTTGCAACAAATTTGTTTAACCACCGTACATTTTGATATTGATACATTTTAATATTTTAAACCTGGCTAGGTAACTTTTTGTTTTTACTATAAACATAATCTTATATACTTTTTAAGTATCAATGGAAAGACGAAGAATTTGATTAATATTAAATGCAGAATTTATTAAATTAAAATTTAACTTTAATTACCTTTTCACTCTGTGGTAGCCTCTCATCTTTGTCAACTTTGTCTTCGTCTTCAGACTCATCATTTACTGCGTCTTCTGGAATAGCTTGTACCTAAAACATAATTACATTAGACAAGAAAAAAAAACCCATATCCTTTCTCTTTCCTACCTATGTTAGTGTAGTGGTACTTTTTTCCGGTATAAAAGAAATCTATGTCAGTATGTCACTATAACTCATGTTATTTTTTCGTGTGTGTGTGTTATACTGTGATTATTAAGTACACACACCACAGACAAACAATTGTTTCACAGTTGTTTGGCATCGTACAATCATATAAGCTTAATATTGCATACCCATTTCTAAACCTCACATTATAATTATTTTATTTTTAAGTGCAACAACGAATAGTAAAAATATCTTATACATAAAATTAACTAACTTCAAAAAAGAGGAAGTACTCAATTTCTCTATGATTTCAATAACTAGTTTATAAAGTGATTTTAAAGTTGAGAATCATTTACCTGTACACCTGGTGCATGTGGCAACATGCGAAGATTTTCAAATAGTCTGTTCTTTATCTTTTCTAAGTATTCAAGTGTATTCTGATTGGACATGTTGCTAGGCGATATGTGCAGCTTGAAGTCTGGTCCAAAATATTCAAAGTAGTCATTGTAAGGAAGCTCATTAGCTATTTCTACTCCAAGAGCTACTGAAGTCTCATAAGTCCAGCAACGAGATACATTGCGAATTGTATACCTATATAATAAAGGATATATTAATATAATTTAACTTCATTTTTATTCTTTTCAGAAGAATATAATTTTATAAATTTAAAGAAGATTATTATAAAACATGTAAAGAGATAATGATTAATACGTACCCTCCACCTCCAACAAGTAGGAATGGAAGACCAAATCTCTTCACAAGTTCCACACAACGTCCATGTCCACGTACCGTCAAGTTGAAGCATCCTAATCGGTCACCTAGGGAAAAATACACACATATTTAATAAAAATAAAGTTTTAAACATTCAAAAAAATATTTTGGCATATAAAATTGTACCATTTTAATTTAAAATATTACTTTGTGCTATTATATATCACTAGCGACTCATCCTCGCTTCGCTTCGGCTTCGTCCCTAGACAAAAACAAATATATCCCACGTAAACTGTACATTTTTAAAGATGATATATGCCTTTCTCTATAAACGGGCTATCTAATGCGAAAATAATTTTTGAAATCAGATTAGTAGTTCCTGACGTTAGCTCGTTCAACCAAACAAACTCTTCAGCTTTATAATATTACTATAAAATTAGATAATAGATATACAAAAAGATCCTTCGAGGAAACATCATATTATTATATGCATGTAATATATTTATAACAATATCACATTTTACATTAACCACAAAATGTCATAAGGAAAACAATAAACGTTTTTAACCATATAACAATACAAGCAAATAATAAATGATATACTCCTCTACAAAATATTTATATTTAAAATAATATATCTGAAAAAACACACTAATTTACATTTTAACAGTACACAAGTATAATATTTGATAACTTATGTACAATGTCAAGGTTCTCTTAACTTTCCTAGTTAAGAGATTACTACTATTGATCCAGATAATACTTTTTAACAAAATGTTTGAAAATTGTTTAAAAACTGTACATTTTATATGTACTGGAAAGCAATATTAAAATTTTGATTCTTGATTAGTATATGAACTTTTGTTAAATCTCAATGTACATTCTAACCTTTATAAAAATGAATATTATAATGTTACCTGTAAGTGAGTCTGCACCACACTGTAAGACAACAGCACTAGGTTGAAATGTCTCCATGACTTTTGATATAATTGGCACAAAGATTGATTCATATGAGTCATCGTCCATACCATCACGCAGAGGTATGTTTACAGCATAGTATTTGCCTTTACCAGCACCAATGTCCCGCAAATCACCTAGAAGCCATGCATTTTAAGCTATTTAAAAATTATCTTTTTTTTTAAATAACTCATTATCTTGAATATTGAATGGAATAGATTAAAAAACTATTAAAATATTAAATAATGTTTATCTTTGACAAAATTTCACTAATTTTGTAAGTTGGAAATAAGCTTTTTTTAATACCCAACTGCGACGAAACGCAAATGAGGGTTATGTTTTCGACCTCTATGTATGTTTGTATGTGCAATCCTGTATCCCCTCATAACTATATGGATATTATTAATTAAAATTGAAAATAGCAGATTTCAGATACCAATTTCTATTTTGTAAAGTAATTTTCTTCTTAAATTAGGATGTGGGTTTTCAAAATGAAGGTTTTTACCTTCTCAAGCCCTTATATTTTAAATTAGTAATAAAATATTTTTGATGGTAAATGCATTCCTTACCTGTTCCTGGGAAATATTCTCCATATTTATGAAATGAAACTGTCATAACTCTGTCTGTTGTATAGAAAGCTTCTTCAACTCCATCACCATGATGCACATCAATGTCAATATACAAAACCCTTTGATGATATTTCAACAGCTCTAAAATACCAAGAACAATGTCATTTACATAGCAAAACCCTGATGCTTCAGATTTCTTTGCATGGTGAAGTCCACCACCCCAGTTGATACAAATCTCTGATGCCTGAAACAAATCATAAATATTAAATTCTATATCTTAAGAGGACTATGCTCCTTTAAGCATTAATTTTATGTTTTTTTTTGACTGGGTGTTTTTTTTTTATTTTACATAATTTTTTTACCTGTTTATTTAATTTAACCGCAGCCGCGACTGAACCACCTGCTGATAGCTGACAGAATTCATATAAGCCATCAAACACTGGACAATCTTCACCAACATTAACTACAAAAGAAATTGAAAGAATAAATAATATATTAAAATAAAAACATTCTTTTAATTATTCATCATCAATCAATCTCTTAGCTTTTTCTCTATTTGGGGTCGGCCCTCCTGATACTTTTACGCCACTCATGGCGATTTTTTTATTATAAAAATAATTTTATTATTATTATAAGCAATAACGCGAACTTACATCTTTGCATTTGTTTGTTGTACTCTGACATATTATCCGGCCTAATCGATCTTAAAAATCGAATGTAATCATCAGAGTGGAATTTAGTCATTTCATCAGCTGTGGCTTTGTGAGGTCTCTAAAATCAAAATTGAATAAATTAGTGATATATTTTATTGTGGCAGGGAAATTGTAAAAAACTTGAAATTATAATTTCACTAGTTAAATTATAATAACCCGGGGTATTGTCAATCGTCTCCTTTTCTTACAATACCAGGGGACATTTTCAGGTATATCATAATTTCCCTCAGCACATTCAGTGATATTGTTAATCAATAAAATTTTGTCAATTTTACTAGATAATAAAAGCCATTAAATAACTAGTGTAATAAAAAGCCATTAAATAAGTAGTAGATAATAAAAGCCATTAAAAATACTAAGTGATTGGACCGATTAAGACATCTTTTTATGCGCAACTAGAACTAGACTACATTTAGTAAATAAAGGAACAGAAATGTAATGTAATGAAAAAGTATGTAGTTAACAAAAATAACCTCAACTCATGATATAAGTGTGTTCAATAAAATATGATAATAATTTTCACTCTGAATTATTTGTATGACACAGTTTGTTGCATCAATATTAAGTTTTTTCCTTGCACACATTCAAAATATGTATTATGTATATTTTTAATAGTAGTTCTGGGTTTGAAATTTAAAAATATATGTGCGTGTTATCGAGCGCCCCACGCTTTTTTGCTTTTTTCACAATAACATTAATTTATTATTCATTTTATATATTATATGACTAAACTTTTTTAAACTTTTTTATTTTCTATTTTTTAGTTTGATCTGCTACAAACTTTGTTTTTTTTTTTAAGTTTTTTTTTTTTTTTTTAACAAATTGTATTGTCATTGGTCCTTGTTAAATGTGCAATTGCAATTCAATCTGAAATTTTGAAGTGGGTGAAAATCGCGTTCAAAGATTCCGATACATAGATAGATGAATAGATACAGACGAAGGTAATAAAGCATGTTAAAAACTTTGATTGGTCGTTCACTGATCACAGTGGATGAAAATGGACCAAGGCTTCCCACCAAATCCTGGTATTGCTAATATTGACAATTTAACTAAGGTAATTACATAATTTAACTGAATGTGTTTAGTGATATTATAATATGTATACCTAAAATTGTACTGTGTTATAGTAGGAAAAGGAGGTGATTAACAAAACTCTGGGTAATTATAATTTCACTAGTGAAATTGTAATTTAACAGATCTTACAATTTTCCTGCAACATATGCATAATATTATAAAATAGTAAATGTTTAATTTTAATTTTACAATGAAATTACTAGAATCATCCTCGCTTCACTCGGGTTCGTCCATTGGTAAACAAATAAACAAAATCTTTCCTCTTTATAATATTAGTCTAGATTAAATATTAGTTTTAAAAATTTCATCTTGTATTCTTGAAACATTATAGTCATGTCTATTTATTCTGAAGTAATTTTTATATTAAAATATACATGTTGCAGGATCATGATGTATATAAATCAAGCATTTATATATAATTTAAAAATTATATCAACTTACATAAATTTCCATTTTTCTGTACAGACCATAATTAAGCAATAAATTATGTGTCATACGTATACGATGAGGCTTCATGGGATGACCTTGGCCATAATAATAATTTCCAATGTCACCTAAAATATATTATTAATTTATAAAAACAATAAAATACTAAAATACCAATTTAAACTTTTTATTATTGTGTTACTTGGTTCATTACAAGGCTTGACATATTGTAGTCTGTACTATACATAGCAAGAGAGGTACAATTTCACATTAGCCAATAGCGTTGCAGTTTATGGTACAGACGCCTTGAAATGCCATAGATGACAATTCAATAAAATTGTTAAGATGAATGTGGTAATTCGTGAACAAGATATATCTCTCGTTTTATGTAAAAAATAAGTATTCTGACGATGTTTATCACAAAAACTTTAAAAATACTTATTTAAATCTAAATTAAAGCACTGATCGATTTATTGGCGGGCAACAAACTTTGTAATACTTACTATCGTAGTAATAACACACTCTTTTCTTACTATGGGGTTGCATAGCCATATTGTTTTAATATACGGTAAAACTAATGACACTATTAATCGGTACAAAATTAATTATAGAATAATTTCACTTTATTTTTAAATTGTAGAATCGAAATGTAAGCGTTTACTTTCTTTGACTCGAACTTGATAAACTTCATTCATTATCAAATCATTCATTTTGGCATATGGGGAGAAGGGGAAAGAGCGGGTCGTGGAAGAATACAGATTAAAAAGATATATAAGAAAATAAAATTAAAAGTTGTTATTAGTAATAATTATATAAGTAATAATATACAAACATCAGCTTTCTCAAAATATAATATTTTAGAAATACACTATTTTCTTGCTCGTTAATTTTAATAAAGAGCTAATAGTAGAGCATCTAAAGATATATATGCAAAATAAGGTCGTCTCCACACGACTGCTCATCGAATAAAAATTGCTTTTATAAATATACTCCATAATATTTAAGCAAACAAGTGACCTCATAAATGGTTCTTTATTTTTTTGAATACTTTAATTATTTAATACATTTTAATTGAAAGTAAGAAGAGCATGAAATATGGTTGTTTTTTCAAAAAATGTTTACAATTACGATTGCTTTAATTTTTATTTTGCATATTGGTGGGGCAAATTGCCTTGATAGACAAATGTGCTAAAAAAGTAAGCTACATTATAAGTACTTATTTGCTTATATACAATATATATATAAGAATAAACATAATATTAAACAGCGTATTATAAAATCATCGGATAATTTTGTTGCATTTTATTTATTTTTTTCTATGCCTATTTTAATATTTATATTTCATTATATATATTTTTAGTACCATTTTAATATATTTTTAATTCAAAAAATATGTATTATAATCATGTTAAGTTTAATGATATTATAGTAACTAGGTGAAATATTATTATTATAGTCTGTATACTTCAAATGTGTATAGCCGGCACAAGTGAAAGGACGAATAAATAGAATGGAATGTACTGTTGGTTCCGCTCACTCATTTGTAAACGGCGTTCTTTAATCGCCATTTTGTCTCTCTTGCAATAGCAGTGGTCGAGGTGAGACGTGTTTTGTATAGTGGCATTTAATATGTAATTTGTTCTATTGATTTTCAATAAATGTATGTGTAATACATTAATATATTTAAACGTGTCCTAAAGTTCAATTCTAAGTAGTGCAATCATAGTTTTATAATATTTAAATTACTTTTCATCTTTTCAGACTGACCCTGCTCAATAAAAAAATCTCGAGAAATCAAGATCATCACCAGATAATTATTAAAATCTATAATGTAAGTATTTTTAATTTCTTGTTAACTTAGTTCATAATATTATATTTTTAGTCTTAAACCTTTAATTTGTGATTTTATAAATTTTCTTATAATGTAGGTGAATCAATTCCTAGTTTTAGTTAGGCTAAACTTAACTCGTAATGTGACTTTTGTATTTTAATTACTATTTTCGCATAATAGCATTACAAATTACAATGTGATTTGTCTGGTTTTTATAATGCAGTTTAGAATGCACGCCCAATTTAGGCTAGTTGCATATCTTGCAGCCATTTTGTGTTAACATGAAACAACTAGGTTTGGTAAAACTAGCAGTCTATTGTTGCGTCAGTTTTCGAGTATAGCATTTATTACAAGTTGGTCTATAAATTAAATGTGAAATTTTATAATACAGTATCGAATAAAATCTTAGTTCAGAAATTCAATATAAAGCTTGCACGCTATACGCATGTCCGTTGACACGTTACATGACACGCGTCGATCAATACCATTGCGGCGGTCATGAAGGTTCAAAGGTTGTGAAATTTTTTAACAGATGGTAATTAAAGTTTAGCACGTGGGTTCTTTGCCTAACATTTTTACCGGATAGAGGTTATAAATAGTTTGAAGTTTAAATAAGTATACATTTCATTGCTAATTTTAACGAAACTAAATGAAATATCTGATAGATTATATTTATTATTATGAGGCAGTGGTAGCCCAGTGGTAATGCGCTCGCTTAGGAAACAATGAAGCGGGTTCAAATCCCGGGTTTCGCGCTTCTCATATTTTTGTGTGCAAATAATTTCTAACATGAATACCACTTGCCTTACGGTGAAAGAAGACGCCGTGAGAAAACCTGCATGTCTGAAAGAAGCTAATAAGTTTTCAAAAGATGTGTGAAGTCCGCCAGGTCGCACTTGACCAGTGTGGTGGACTAAGGCCTGGTCCCCCTCATGTTAAAGTGAGCCCTGTGCCCAAAGTGGGACGTTAAAAAGGGCTGAATAGATAAATATTTATTATTCGAAAATTTTTAATTTATTCTCTAAATTTTTTTTCATAGGTCTGGTAATTGGAACAATAGCCGTGGTGGAAGCGGTGGTTCCAAATTTGGTGGTGGAGGTGGCAAGTTCGGTTCAAACGGAACATCAAGATTTGGAAATGGCGGATCTAAATTCGGAAATGGTGGTGGCGGTGGAGGATACACTAACAAGAAGGAATTTTCTGGTGGTCAAAATATGAAACGACCTAACTGGGATTCTATGTCATTACAACCATTTAATAAAGATTTTTATAATCCACCTCCATCAGTACTGAATAGATCACCTTATGAAGTAGAAGAGTACAGAAATCAACATGAAATCACTGTTAGTGGAGTCGAGGTCCCAACTCCTATTCATCTTTTTGAAGAAGGCAATTTTCCTGACTATGTCATGAATTCTATTAAAGGAATGGGATATAAAGATCCTACTCCTATTCAAGCTCAAGGTTGGCCAATTGCCATGTCTGGGAAGAACTTGGTTGGTATTGCCCAGACAGGTTCTGGTAAAACATTAGCTTACATTTTACCTGCGATTGTACACATCAACAACCAGCCTCCTGTGAGGAGAGGAGATGGGCCAATTGCCCTTGTATTAGCGCCTACAAGAGAACTAGCACAGCAAATCCAGCAAGTTGCTACTGATTTTGGCAATGCAGCCTATGTTCGTAACACATGCATATTTGGAGGTGCACCAAAAAGGGAACAGGCTCGTGATTTAGAAAGAGGAGTAGAAATTGTAATAGCTACACCAGGAAGATTGATTGATTTCCTAGAAAAGGGTACAACTAATCTTCAAAGATGTACTTATTTAGTTTTGGACGAAGCTGATCGTATGTTAGACATGGGCTTTGAACCCCAAATAAGGAAAATCATTGAACAAATTCGCCCTGACAGACAAACATTGATGTGGTCTGCCACATGGCCTAAGGAGGTTAAGAAATTGGCTGAAGATTACCTGGGAGATTATGTACAAATTAATATCGGCTCTATGCAGTTGTCTGCCAACCACAACATCCTACAAATTATAGACGTTTGTCAAGAACATGAAAAAGAAAATAAGTATGTATTGCTTTCATTATTTCATTCTTATTGATATAATTCTCCTATGATGAATTTAATTTTAATGACCAATTATTGATTATAATAAAAATTTTCCTCTAAGAAGATCTGATTATTTCAAATGTATCAAAAAACTAGAATACTTTTTGTCTTCCTATTTAACTATTTTTTTTTCTTAGGTTGAACGTACTGCTACAAGAAATTGGTCAAAGTCAAGATCCTGGCGCGAAGACCATTATTTTCGTTGAAACCAAGAGAAAGGTAGAAAATATAACCAGAAGTATTAGGCGGTATGGATGGCCAGCAGTTTGCATGCACGGTGACAAAACACAGCAAGAAAGAGATGATGTGTTATATCAATTCAAACAAGGCCGTGCAAATATACTAGTTGCAACTGATGTTGCAGCCAGAGGATTAGGTAGGCTCCCTTTTAAAAATGATGCGATTAAGTTACATTGAATATATTTGTTAATGAATGTAATATACAACAAAGTAACTTAATAAAATGATAATTTATTTTATACTTTCAGAGGCACTGGCGGAAAGTTATTGTGTTCTGTTTGAATACTATTTTAAAATATTGAACAAGCTGCTCTGGATTTGTTGATAGCCTAATGCAGTATTATTTTTTTGAAGAATGCAATAACTCGTCATAAAATGGTGCCTCAATGTGCCTTTCACTGCGACTGGACCCGGCCGGAAAACTGGAAAGTATGTCCGTCATTTCGGATACACTTGAAAGTGTTGAAAACCTGGTGATGCACTACAGTAGTAAAGATAAAGATTGAAAGATATTATTAAAAGAATAAAGGAGTGCATTGTTGAAAAACTTGACCACAAGTTGAGATGATCTGTTTCGGTCAAGGGTTTTCTGTTTCGGCCATATTGGAGTTTTCAAGAGGGCAATGACTATTATTATTCTATCTGCTAAATTAACGCCCTTTACAAGACTCCAGGGTTCTGAGTGAGAGGCAAAACTTGTTTTGATACATATGTGTAACTCATTCATGTAAGTAATGCAACTGAGTTACTTTACCTAAAGAAATTTGTTTTGAAAATATTTGGTAATGTGGTGGTTTATGCTCATTACAATTCTATAACAGAACAAATTTTTCAAACAAATTTTATTATTTAATTTCATCTGTTAATGCTTAATTTTTTTTTTTAGATGTGGATGGAATTAAATATGTCATAAACTTTGATTATCCTAATTCATCTGAAGATTACATTCACCGCATTGGTAGGACTGGACGATCAAAATCAAAAGGAACATCGTATGCCTTTTTCACACCTTCAAATTCACGACAGGCTAAAGACCTAGTTTCAGTATTACAGGAGGCTAACCAGGTTAGGAACATTACAGTTCATAAACTATTTTATATTTCATAGGATTTAATGTTTAGTTTGTTTCCTCATACCTTTGGCATGGGTACATTTATCAATGGTGTGACATGAATGCAAGTATGAGGTACATTAAAACAGCTACATGCCTTCGGTGTCCACATAAATTTTATCTGGATCCCATCCTCAGATGCTGTGACATACAAACTTTTGTAACATGAAAATGTAAAATTTTCAAATTGATTGTTTTTTTTATTATTGCATACATATTTTTGAAAATAATGCTTTCTTTTTTATTATTGCAGGTGGTTTGCCCTCAACTGCAAGGCATGGCTGACCGTTGCGGTGGAGGTGGCGGAGGATGGAATAGGAACAGATATGGCGGCGGCCGTGGAGGTGGCTCCTTCAAGAGGGGATCAAACTTTGGCAGGGGCAATGGACAGGGTGGCGGCGGTCATAGAAGATTTAATGAATATTGAATAGTATAATTTAATGTAGAGATTTTAAGCAAATCCTCAGAAATAAACTTAAGTGTATGAATGATAGAGCTGTGTCTCTTGATGATGTTAGAGAAATAGTTAATCACTTACACTACAACTGAAATATCTTCTTAATTTATTTCCTTTTATCATTTAGGAACTTCAGTGTGGACTTGATTGTTAATTTAATTTTTACTGTGATATCTTAGTGAGGATTAGCTAAAAGATAAGTTATTGCCCTGTCCTAAATGTTTTTATTTATAATAAATAGTATGCATATCAACATCATTGCATATATTTTGTGCCCCAAATGTGATTCATTCCAATTCAGTTTGATCTGGTAAATTAAAGTAAATTTACTTATATTGCGTTTGTTTTTTTTTTAAGTTATGCCCTATGCGTGTACTCTGTAGCTGAATCATTTTACAAGACAGCAGTTATAACAATTTTTTTTTCAATTTTCTGATTCTCATAATTCCATTTATAAATATGAAAGTAAATGTTTCTTTTCACCTTTATATTAAAAAAAAAACTGATATAGACAAAACTTGTCAAAGATACATTGAACCTGGGTGGGGAAGTATGTATTTTTATGTAGTGCTCTATTTTCACGTTGCAAATATGCCTAAAATATACATATTTATTGGTTTCTATGTGGCGTTTTGTCGCTTTTGATGAAATCCTATTGGTAATTGGACTTATTCAATACATAACATGATAACTTTAAACGTTAAAAAAACTGACTCCAGTGTGAGTCGGACTCGCGCACGAAGGGTTCCGTAGCATTTATAAAAACTGCAAAAAAATCATGTGTGTTGTATGGGAGCCCCACTTAAATATTTGTTTTAATTCAATTATTTATCTTTTAAAGTGAGTACCTATATATAACTAAATATTCTGTGAATATTTCAAGCGTCTACCTGTTGCCGTTATCAATATCGAGCAAAAAAATCACGTTTGTTGTATGAGACCCCCTTAAATATTTATTTTATTCTGTTTTTTAGTATTTGTTATAGCGGCAACAGAAATACAGTAGGGACTCGATTATCCGGCCCTCAGTTATACGGCTTCGCGAGTATCCGGATTACCCATGGCGATCAAATAACTATTCAAGTCGAATCTGTACATGCACGGACATGTCGGAACTGGCGACCGCCCGTACTCACCGTCGCCCTGCGCGATCGCTGTCGCCGCGTTTTTGTTTTAGTTATAGTTACCAATCGTTACTCCGCTGTCGTGTCACGTTTGTGTTTCAAAATGTCAAAGCGTAAGAGAGTGGTGTTATCGCTTAAAGATAAAATAAATATTATTGATTCGTTAAAAAAAGGAGAAACCGGTCGTAAGTTAGCTGATAAGTATGGTGTAGGTACATCCACAATAAGTGATATTAAAAAGAATACCGATTCAATTTTGAAGTATATCTGCAAATTTGATAGTGAAGACGGGAGTAAATATCGAAAAGTGATGAAAAAATCGCAAAATGAACTTTTAGAAGAAGCTTTGTATTGTTGGTTCCTACAAAAACGATCAACTGGGCAACCGATATCTGGACCTTTGCTCTGTGAAAAAGCATTACAGCTAAATAAAAAAATAGGTAGTGATGAATCGTTTGTTGCAAGTAACGGTTGGTTGTACAGGTTTAAATCTCGTCATGGAATTCGCGAATTGGAAATACAAGGTGAAAAAATGTCAGCGGATGTAGATGCAGCAAATTCTTTTAAAGATGGTTTTAAGAAAGAATTGGATAAAAATGACTACGACTTGGATTTTCTTTATAATGCTGATGAAACTGGATTATATTGGAAATCATTACCATCAAAATCTTTAGCGTCTCAGCGAGAGAATTCAGCTACTGGATATAAAACTAGTAAAGAGCGAGTAACAATATTAGTTTGCGCTAACGCTACCGGGACCCATAAAATTCCTTTGCTCCTCATCGGAAAATCCAAAAACCCCCGATGCTTCAAAAATATCAGGGTACCCTTAATTTATAAAAACCAAAAAAGCGCATGGATGAACTCCGAAATATTCATTGACTGGTATGACAACAGTTTTATCCCTGAAATAAAAAAATATCAAAACGAAATTGGAAAAGAAGGAAAGGTTCTACTTTTACTGGATAGTGCGCCGACCCATCCTTCGGCTGAACTGTTAGAAAGAGAAAATGGAAGGTTTAAAGTAAAATTTTTGCCTCCTAATGTGACATCGTTGATACAACCAATGGATCAAAGTATTATTGAAACATTGAAACGACTTTATAGAAAACAATTTTTACGTAGATTGTTATCTGTTGATGAAGATAACGTACAAGTTGTTTTATCATTTTTGAAGCAAATGAGTTTAAAGGAGTGTTGTTACATGGTTGTAAATGCGTGGGATTTGATTGAAAGGAAGACTCTGGAAAAAGCTTGGAATAGAATACTAAAACGGGAGAACGAATATTCAATAACTAACTCGGATGATTCTATTTTGGTGGATATAAATGAGCTAATGTCAAATATACAAATATGCAAGGAATGTGATGCTGATGATATGAAAGAGTGGCTCACTTGTGACAGTAATGATCAAGGTTTTCAAATCATGTCGGATGACGAAATTGTTGAAAACATGTTGCAGGTAAACGAACAGCAAGAAATGCAAGATGAAACAGAAAAAAATGTAGATGTGGAAAATGATGCAGGACCATCTCATGCGGAAGCATTTCAGGCGCTAGAAATAGCTCTTAAATGGTATGAAAAACAAACAGAGTGTGATACTGTGAGTTTACTACAGCTAAAACGAATTCGTGATGTAGCAGCAATAAAGAGAAAGAGTGGCTTACGTCAAATGACAATTACCAAATATTTGAACCCAAATTGAACTCAATATATTTATTTCATGATTACAAATTAAACTATACATATGGGTACATATGTACGTATGTACAAATTTTATTTCATGATTAAGGTTGCTGTATTTTAGTTGTGTAGGAAAATATGTATGTATGTGACAACGTACATTTAAAAATGTATCTGTTAATCATTTCTTAGTATATTAATTGATTTATCTTTAGTTGATTTTAATTAAACACCAACATTAGGTATTATGTAATATGTACCAAAACCGTTTTTGTTCATACATTCGATTATCCGGATTTTCGATTATCCGAATGCCTACCGACAACAATTAGTCCGGATAATCGAGTTTCCACTTACATCATCTGTGAAGATTTCAACTGTCTCACTATCACGGTTCATAAGATACAGCCTGGTGACAGACGGACAGACAGACAGCGGAGTCTTAGTAATAGAGTCCTGTTTTACCCTTTGGGTACGGAACCCTAAAAGTGAAACTACTGAAGGTAGAAGTTAATTTATATTCTTAGTTCTTATTGGGCGATCCTTAAATCGGAGAAGGTGGTATTGGGTATCTTATATGACGTGCACCTTATTTAACAGATGGGTGTGGTGCCGAGATCGACCCTTACTACTTCGACCCGTATTGATATTTCGTAGAAGTGCACCTTTAGGAACTTACTGATGTTTCCGTCCTGTACGGTGTACATACTACCTACAAGTTACATCGGGTGCTGTTCCTACCGTGAGAAAAAATAATATACTATAGTCTAAAACGTCTTGCTTCTATAGATAAATAAATGTTCGACCCTTTTTAATGTATTTGCATCAAAATAAATCAGAAAATGTTTAATTTATAAGAACACTAGCGGCTCACCCTCGCTTCGCTCGGGTTCACCTCTAGAAAAGCACAAACAGATCTATCCCACGGGAATCGTTCATTTTTGCGGGATGAAAAGTAAACTGTTGTTTGACCGGCAATAGGCTCGGGTTCGTCCATACCTACGGATATGTTGTATTATCTCTTTAACCATTTGTCCAAATTATATGCAGTAAAAGGGAAAAGTCTTTTGTTTTAAACATTTTACACGATAAATTTACTTATTTTGATAAGAATTCATAATTGTTGATAATATGACCAATAAACATGACCTACCGATTTAAATTATTTTTTTTAATATAAAAAACTACTTTTTGTGACTTAAATATAAAAGTTATACATATGCTGTCGCTGACTTTTTTGTAGGCATTATTATGCTCTACAACTTTTCTCTAGAACATAATCTTTGTATCTCTCACCGTTAAGGCAGCGTTCGTAAGAAACGTTTTCGTTCGACCGTTTTTTCTCCGACTTACTTTGCAAATCCGACTACCACGAAAAAGGCTTTTCATTCTTCGGGTTAATATATAGCCTATGACACTCAGAAAGAATGTGGCTTTCTATTGGTAGAAGAATTTTGAAAATCGGTTCAGTAGATTCAGAGATTACCCCCTACAACGTCACAAACTCACAAACCCACAAACTCACAAGATCACAAACTTTACCTCTTTATAATATTAGTATAGATAGTAAATTATTTTTTATACTTCGGTCAAAAGTAAAGTAATCCCTGTTTTCCAATTACAGAGCGTAATGCCGCACTTTGGCGCACAAATACGAACAACTCGAAAAAACACTTCTTAGGCTGGCTGCACACGTACACGGTTTTATGAATAGGTTTCCCGATTCGGAGACCCGAATGCTTGCCTTATATACAAAACATTCAACCAGGCACACACATTTGTACACTTTCCGTTCGGAAAAAAAACTGACGTTCGTTTCGGAAACAAGCCGTGCGTTCGGGTCATTCGGATCGAAAAAAACCGAATGACGTCATCCCGAATGCAGCGTTCGCATACATTTTTGCTAATCCGCCGCACACGAACGGAAATTTTCGTTCAAAATAGGAATGTCAGCATTAAAAAAATATATCAATATATCGATGTATTAATATTTATTAAAATATCAATATCTACCTCGATATTCCAAGAAAAAATATCGATATATCGGTAAAAATTTCAGAGATTTTTGGTTTAAAATAATAATGTATTTAGTTCAGTCTGGCTCAATAAAAGATAATACTATTTTTTATATAAAATGCACATTATATTATTTTGTACAAAAATAGCCATATATGCTATGTAATATAGCTATTATTGAACCAGAATGAATTAAATACATTATTATTAAGAAACCGAAAATCTACGAAAACTTGACCGATATATTGATATTTTTTCCTGGTGATATCGAGGTTGATATTGACATTTTAATAAATATCGATATATCGATATTTTATTTCACTACCAACATCCCTACTCTACCTGCTGGCAGTGTTAAAATTCCGAATACATAAAATCTAACGTCTGTGCTAGTCTTACGGAATTCCGAATCAGGAAACCGTACATGTGTGGCCGCCGCCGGCCTTATATTTTCTGGTACTAAGTTGGTTGGTCACGCACGCTAAAGCAATACATACTTTTCAAAATGCTCAATTGTGCGGAGCGTTGCTCTAGTTGAAAAAATCGAAGTTGAGTATTATGCCGCATAATGCGCTTTAATGCTGTATTTGGAAAACGCCCAATAAGTACTGCTATAGACCTATGTGGATACGCCCTGTAAATAACTTGGTCCGCTAGCAAAAAGACGTCATGCGAAAAGATTACTTCAATGGGAAGATTTCTCGAAAGGAGGGCGCCACTCGTATTTCCTATTTACATTCAGTCTGAGGTTAAGCAATTTACTATGATATCTCTTGTTATACCTGTTTTTTGCTTTTATTGTATTCGCATCTTACGTGTGCAATGTATTGTACCTGGAAGTTAAACCAGCTGAAGGAAAAATTGAGAAAGAGAGATGCATCCTGTGGTGGTCCTGACTGACTGATGGATCCACACACAGCCTAAACCGCTGGTCGTAGAAACGTAAAATTTGGAGGATGTGTTCCTTATACGATGTAGGCATCCGATAAGAAAGAATTTTTCGAAATTCATCCTTGAAATGGGTAAAATAGGAGATTAAAGATTGTATGAAAATCTGTCATTCTTAATGTGAAATAAAAGAAAGTTTAGCTTTAAGATAAAAATTAAATATTTTTATTTGTTTTTTTTCGATATTCAATCCCATAAGATCCAAGAACGGATCTGCTCTTTACTTTTCTATTCTACTCCTACCTAAGTTATTATCACATAATGTCGGATCTGTCAAATGTCACCACTAAAGGCACTCACTCAATGTCATTAAATAGGGTTATGAAGGTTGAATGCGGTTTCTTGATTCTTCAACTAAGTATTAATTATTGTGGTCTATTTTGTTTTTGTATAACTTAGGTCAACGTAAAGTTTATGTATCAGATATGGCACTTAATGTCTTTAAAAACTTTTTACGGCGTCAAGATTTCCTCAAATTGTAAGCTTACTATTGTCTTGAACAATAATGTATTGTAGGTTAAATTCTAATTTCTAACATGGTCTTCATTTTTCAGCTCTTATCAAGATGGTAAGCATATTTTACAAACACGCACTCATCTCTTGGGAATAGTTAACAGAAAAGCGGATTATAGTATTTATATTCCGAAAAATATAGAACGCAAATTGCACTTTGGGAAATATATTCAGAAAAGGTTTTACTCTATACAGACTGCACAAAACAGTGATAATGACTATTGTATTGAGAATAAAATTACTATTATTGGTAGCGATATCCCAAAACCTTTAACAGACATCCATACTAGTGATTTTCCTGATTATATCAAAAAATTTCTTGACCAGCAAGGCTTTATAAAGCCAACTGTAATTCAAGCCCAAGGATGGCCTATTGCCATGTCTGGCAAAAATTTTGTTGGCATTGCTCAGACAGGCACTGGAAAAACTCTGGCATATCTGTTGCCTGCAGTGGTTCAGTTAAAAGAAAAAGAAACACGAAGAGGTAGAGGTCCAAGAGTATTAGTTCTTGCTCCTACAAGGGAGCTTGCTAGGCAAATTGAAGAAGTAGCAAAAGATTTTGAAAAATTATTTAATTTAAGATGTTTGTGCATATATGGAGGAGTGAGTAGAACAGGTCAGGCTTCAAAATTAAGTGAAGGAGTGGACATATTAATAGCTACACCAGGTAGATTAAATGATTTTATTGTCAGCAAAATTACAAATCTAAGTAGATGTAAGTATGTAGTGTTAGATGAAGCAGATAGAATGCTGGATATGGGTTTTGAGCCACAGATACGTGAAGCTTTAGAGGGGGTACCTTATGAAAGACAAATACTGATGTTTTCTGCGACTTGGCCGACGGAAGTACAAGAACTAGCAAAAGATTATCTTGGTGAATTTGTACAAGTAAATGTTGGATCAACTGAATTATCAGCAAACCACAACATCCAACAACATATTCATGTGTGTGAGCAAGAAGAAAAAATGGAAAAGTATGTATTTTTATTCTTCATATTTTTTTATTGGCAAATTAACTTGATTATTGCATGTTTAAGAATTATCTATTTTGCAGGTTCCAATCCATAATGCATGAGATTTCAGGACAAGGATTCGGTAAAATACTTGTATTTACAAATACAAAGAGATTTGTTGATAGCCTAGCTATAACATTAAAAAGGAATGGCTGGCCAGCAGTTGGGATCCATGGTGACAAAACCCAGATGCAGAGAGACAATGTAATCAATAAATTTAAAAATGGCAGAACTAATATTCTGGTTGCTACTGATGTTGCTGCTCGAGGTTTAGGTAAGAAATGTCTAAGACTTTAATTGAACTTCTTTAGTATTCTCTAAATTTATTCCATTATTAAGGGTTTGCCTTAATAATTATTGTAATGGAAGAATTAAAGCTTTAATAATAATAAGCAAATTTATGTTGTCATTATTTTGATCAAAAATGTGTGGATGTAATTTTTGGAAGTAATTTATAATAATGTTAAAATTAATGCATTTTCAGATGTTGATGGTATCACCCATGTGATCAACTATGATTTTCCTAACACTTCTGAAGATTACATTCATAGGATTGGGAGAACAGGTCGCTTGGAGAACAAAGGTGTAGCACACACAATACTCACTGATGAAAATGCACGACAAGCAAAGAGTCTTATATCTGTCTTGAAAGAAGCCAAACAGGTTTGTCATTTTATAAAGACTTTAGTTTTTATATCTTTTATAAACAGTAAGGCTAACAATGTTCTACAAATCTCACTTTCTTCTACGGTTTGGTCTTAAAAAATAAATAATTATCAAAACTCTGTTTACTTTAATAGATTTGAAAGTTTAAGCTAAATTTATCCATATCATTGATTATAAACTTGTAATGCAATTGTTATAATATAAGTAGGTAATTGGATATAATTTAAATTATTTTTTAAGATATTACAGGTTAACATTATGTGTAACTATTTTCAGGATGTTCCAAAAGAATTACTGCAGTTAGCGCAAGATTACAAAAATATGAAGTTTCAGGAGAAACAAACAAAATTTGTGCAGAAGACTAATAGCTGGAATGCAAATAAGAAATGGAATAAATTTCGCAGTAATAAGAGATATTAGTTTATCTAATATGTATTATAATTAATGATGTACTAAATGTTGTATATTTATTTATAAGGTGAATAATTAGTGTAATAAGTAGCTGTACACCCTGTGATAGGAATAAACCACTGAATAATTTTTTAGTTTTTATTTCATAGCCTTGCCTTTTTCGTCTCTGGTGCTAAGAGTGCAATGAAATGTTGGTAAGAAGTGTTATTGGTCTATCTAATCGATACTTGTAGTGCCATCTTTTGAAATTTATTTGATTGTGTAACAAAAATATAAAAATATGGAAAATTTCACATATAAATGCGATATTTACGATACGATATAGTAGTAGTGTGATTAGCAAACAGATGGCATAAAAACCTCCCAAGTTTTAAAAAAATTAAAAGTAAATAATCTAAAAAGTATGTCTAAAATTTGATATTTGAGCTAAAAACTCTTGAATAATGTTTGAATGCTTTTCTATCAAATTGTGAAATGAGTTAATGTGTAATGAGCTTATGATTCCACTATATGAGGGGCTTACGAATATACATATTTTTTTTTTATTTGGAAACTAAGAAAGCAATGGCACCCTTAACAAAAAGTTGCAACAAACAATTTAATATTTAATATAAAAAATATATTTGCTGGGTATGTTATACCACAGATCACTTAATACTATGTTTATACTTATATCCTACTAATATTATAAATGTTAAAGATTGTGAGGATGTATGGATGTCTGGATGTTTTTTACTCTTTCACATAAAAACTACTGAATGGATTTTAATGAAACTTTACAATAATATAGCTCATACATCAGAATAATACATAGGCTACTTTTTATTCCGAAAATATGTACGGTTCCTGTGTGATAGATTTGTTCTTGTTTTTCAAGAGACAAACTCGAGCGAAGCGAGGATAGCCGCTAGTTTATGCATATAATAAAATTATAACTAAGCCGAATCTACATTAAATATTTTTTAGAAAATCTTATTGAAATAAACATTATTAGCGATAGTTCCGGTAGGCCGAATCTATAGTTTTTAAAATTTTTGTCTGTCTGTCTGTCTGTCTGTCTGTCTGTCCGTCCGTCCGTCCGTCATACACAATAGATATATTATTGAATTAGAGAGAGTCACAAACTTTCACATTTATAATATTAATACGGGTAAAACTTGTCATTTTCGAAATTATTTAAAATTGGGTTAGTTTTGATAAGCTAATGAGTAACGACCATAGCAATAAAAAAATATGTTGTTTCTATAGTAACCTCATGACGTCTATTTTCGCGTCTTCTAATAATAACAGTGAATATTTATTATGACAAAATGAGGATAAGTGTTATTGGGATAAAATTTTGAGACATGGCGCTGTTGCCTGAACTAGATGTTAGAACGGTATTAAATGTGGTGGAAGAAAATTTTCAGCGGGTTAGATTGGTTAGTATAGTAGAGTAATAAATGTAAGGAACATTTAATGTGATCTAATAAAACTATAACTATGAAGAGCTTTCGATTCAAAATTGATCTGCTGCTAAGTTCTTTTTACCGTTACTTGTCATCCAGTTTTTATCGATCGTAACGCCTATCCATAATAGCTTAAATGTATAACTTATAGAGATAATAAAAATAGCTTATATATCAGTCCTTTAGGTTCTAATAGATCATACATTAAAATTACTTTATTTATTATTACAGAAAGCTTATGCTATTCGTATGATTTACATCGGGGAACATGTACTGCCAAAGGAGGAGTTGATTAACCATTTTCAAGCGACTATATACGATGTGAATTCTAGTTATTGCGAAACAAACGTGTTTGGTTTACTTTTAGTATATGACAGCTATTTTGTACATGTTGTCGAGGTTAGTTTTTATTTAATAAAACTGAATACAGATTTCTGTAGGCCTTTAAAAAATAAAACTTTATATCCACCACTTGGAAGCTGATTGTAGCTGACCTCCGTTGTATAGGTTTTAAATGCCTGATGTAGATCATCATTTCATATCATTCAACGGGGCTTTTAACGATAAGAGTAATAAGTTTCCCTGAACAAGCCTTATCATTGAATATTTTTGATAAAAGAGCTCCAAAAAGAAGCAAATGACGCTATTTATTTTATTACGTATGTACTTATATGTAGCAAGACCTGCAGTAAGTTTAAGATATGTTCCGCTGCATAAACATTATGCTTTTTCTTCAACTTGTTCTTTCTTTTTAGTTCGTTTTTTAGTTTTAATGTAGTCGAGTTTTTGTATTTGTATAACTAAATTTTTGTATTCAGTCCTGTTTAACGTCCCACTGCTAAGCACGGACCTCCCTTCAGTACGAGGCCATAGCCCACCATGCTGGCCAAGGGCGGGTTGGCGGACCTTACATATCTTTTGAATACTTGCTAGGTTTTTTCAGACATGCAGGTCTCCTCACGATGTTTTAATTCCCCGGTCAGACAAGTGGTAATCATGTTGAAAATGATTCGCACATGAAAATATCAGAGGTACGAGACCCGGGATTTGAACTCGCTTCACTCGGTTTTCCAAGTGAACGCGTTACCACTGGGCTACTACTGCCTATTTAATTTTTACATTACTAATAATTTGTCGCACTTATCTCGAGTAGACAATCTATGCATTTATAGACGAATTTGTTTTCCCAAACTTTGTTTTTTTTTCTTTATCATCATTATCGCTTATTTATTATTTAACGTCAATTATTTGCCATAAACATTTTTCCTATAATTATGAATGAAAATAAAATAAAAAATACCCTAATTTTAATCTGTATTGTAGTTCTATTTTTAATTATATTTAGGGTTCAGAAGACACTGTCCATAGACATTTAAGATTTCTTTTTGATCGTGAAAATAAATGGATAGAAGAAAAACTTGAAGAAGATAAAGCAATGGCAGAGGAAGAAGATTTAACAGTAATATTGGGAGAGGAAGCTGTTGCTAAGCCTGAGACAAGAATGTTCAAGCGCTTGAAAATGCTCATACTCTACCATTCCATTCAAACAGTCGGTATCATATCGATATATAATCTATTCTAACATATACTCGTACTTAAAGTTTATTTTCTTTGCGCTTATCTTTGGAACTACCAGTCCGGTTTCAGGAATCTTTTAGGACTTTATAACGTATTCTTTAAGGAAGGTTTTTTAAATTACCTTACGGTATACAAGAGCTAGTTTATATAAATATAAGTTTACAGTTAGAGTTTTAGTACCTATATACATATAAATTTCTCATTTTCACATGTAAATATGGCATTTAACATGTAAGCTGTCCAGTGCCCAACGACCTTAAATAAACTTGACAAATATATCTACTTAATAAGTAGGTATATTTACAAAAGAAGAAATTTAGAATATTATGGATATCAAAGTACTTTTTTAGTTGATCTTTGATAACTGGCGAGCGCTAACTGCGAGGCCTCCGTCCCTCATTGGAAAGCTTGATGTTCACGGATCTATGGCAGAACATATGGAGCAGTTACGGATATGTCTTGATAAAATTAAAAGGGTTTGTGAACTTACGAAAGCTGACCAAAATGTAAGTGAGATCTAAATGATTTATTTTTAACCAGATATAATATATACATATTTTATTTTGAAAGTGTGTTCTTAATAGGTTTTTGAAAATTTTTAATATAAAGAAAATAGTAAATTCATAATTAAAATTACCTAAGTATTATTAAAAAAAAATATGTAAACAAATTAATTAGGTATTTAAAGATCTTAAACTAGTATAGTATTATATGATCTGTGGCCTTACTTTTCTACAAGACCTTACCTTTCATTCTTGGAACATTTACTTTCACAGTTATCATTCGAAGGTTTGAGCGCCGTTGATCCTAAAATGGAAGCATTGCCAGAGGTGGCCCTGTTAGACTATCTCCTACAGTCTCAATACATTTTAGATCTCCGCTACGTAGCACATCTACATAGACGGGTTGACGATTATACTTTTTATTTTGGCAAGTGTTTAGTAATTTATTAATTTGAAATGTAGTTACAGTAATATATTATTTTATGGTTTGTATAAAATTGACGTGCATAGGTATGATGAGTTGTTGTGCGTTGTATTCAAACATATTATCTCGTGGGAATGTTAAAAGTAGCCTATGACACTCTTATGCCCGATTTCACCAACGTCACCTAAGTTTAAGGGATCCCCTAAGCATGGTTAGTGGGCTGTTAGGGGACAGTTTCTGTTTCAACGACAGTTAGGGGTCACCTAAATATTAAAAGGCCCCTAAATTTAGGTAAATATGTAAATAAATATGTAAATATGTGGGGACATTAACACACAGCGCCATCTAGTTCTATGGTAAGCTACGAGGCTTGTGTTATGGATACCAGATAGTTGATATACTACATATATATAACTTTAAATACATACATATTATAAACATAAACACCCATGACTGGAGTGCAAATATTCGTGCTCATCACACAAATGAATGCCCCCAGCGGGACTCGAACCCACGACTGCTGGCACAGCAAGTAGGATCACTACAAACTGAGCCAAACGTGTCGTCAAAGGTGCTCGAAATATGGGCTTAAAGACGATCGTAAAACGAAATATAATTTAGGGGCTAGTTTAGGGGACTTTTAAGCTAGGGATCCCATACGTAGGTGGTAGCTTATGGGTTGTTGGCGAAATTAGTGTTGCAAAAAAAAACTGTTTTTTTTTATTCTATCGTGAACACACTGACACGGACGAGACTAGTATAGGAGGCACTGATACTGAAAGTGGTACTTACATTAACACAGGAAGAACAAATTTTTATTCAATTGATTCATTATACTCAATTCGATTTGTAATTTTAGTGAAATGTAAGAAATTAGAAAACATATCTCAAAAAACATTTAATTTTCTATAGATTTTTTTTCTAAAAAAAATCAAAGTTAGAAAAAAAATATCACTAGTCACTCTCCAGTCCTCGCAACTATCTCCACACAAAAAAATCACACTAATTCATCACTCTGTATCGATGTGAAATATGGACAAACAGTTGCCTATTAGGAATATTGTTTATCAGATTAGACACTAGTCACTATAGCATTATGAATGTGAAAGTTTGTGAGTGTGTTTGTTACTTCACGCTGTAGCTGCTTAACAGACAGCATTTATTCTCAGGACACCGAGGACCGAGTAAATTTATTATATTTATAATATTATTGGAACGAAGTTCCTTATTATATACAGCATCGTCACATTTGGCACTTCTTTTACTTATAGTAGCCTATGTCTCATTCTTGTTCTGAGTCTATGTACTAATTGGTTTTTGTCTATCTAGAAAGTGTATGGCCGCTGCCAAATCATTTCACACCACGGTTACTATACAAATTGAAGGTTGATGATTCGTTTGTTGAACCTTTGCCTGTCATGCCGTGGGAACTCGTGAAAAAAGAGGTAGAAGAAGAAGAAAAAGAAGAACGACAAAGTATGAGTTCCTCTAGTGATTAATGTGGCTAAATAATAAAATCCGCATTGCATGTTGTATCAAATCATTTATAATAAATATCTGCGTACAGTTCATGGTGTTTTATTAATTATATTTTTGAAATTTTAACTGAATAGAGTTTTAAAAGTAATCATATTAATATTTCTTATGATATTTGCTATATAAGGTTAGTTAGATCGATACTGTTCCTGTTGCAAGTTAGCAGCGGGGGAGATTATTGCTATAGTAATAACATATCTATCGAGCAATCAACCATAGTACAACTGTTTATCAAAAATATACTAAAATGCAAAAGAAATTAGTGAAAAGAAACTCAAAAAAAGTTACCTATGGTATAAAGTTACCTCCAATTGAGCAAAATGGTGATAGTGATTTAAAAACTATTTTAGATATTGACCCACATTTCTATTCACAAGTTGAGGGAAGACCAATTCGATCGAATAATTCCATCCGCAAATACAAACAAAATATCAGAGAAATAGCATTAAAACGAACTCTACATGGATTTTTAATGGATGAAATATTGCGAATTAATAGAGAGATTGAAACAGAAAGAAAAATATACAATACGACTTCAAAACATTTCGAAGATTATCAGCACAGCTTCAATAAATTTCTAGATGACGATAACAATAAAACGATTGTTATAATGAAAAAATCTGACTGTTTAGCTAAAGAATTGGCAAATCAAACGGAAGAACATAAACAAGCAAACTTTGAACTAGCCACCATTAAGTCAAAATTACAGTATATTCACGAGACTTTACAAATTCTGCTCTCTTTTCAATGTTTCTTGCATAGAGCTGCACCTATTTTATGGCAAGAGAGGCAGAATATAAACTTAAATGTAGAACATTTTGAAATTCTTACAAAAGATTGTGATATATTCGTTGAAGTTAACAAGAATCTAATCAGAGAGCGATTGAATCAATTGCCTCCCCAACGACTTTATTTTGAAACTCCCGATCAACTTCTTACTGTGTTTTATTTACTTGAGAAACAAAATCTAAACTACCTTCTAGTGACTGAGGACTTGAACGCTGAGAAGAATAAGTTTTTGAAGTCACTAAGATTTCTAAAAAGTCTATTATCTCAGGAGTTAGAGTATATAAAAGAAAAGGTAAATAGGGTTTGAGGAATTATTACCAAATAATAACGTACTATTACCAAATAATAACGTACATTCTATCTATCTCTATTTCTATTTCTAGCTATCTCATAATCACTACATCTGTAATGTTTGTAAGTCTTCTCGTATTGAACAGCTTGACCAATTTTGATCATTTTTTTGTGTACTTATGGGGTCATTTGGATGGTTCTTAGCAGTAGTGGGAACCGGCAGGTGGCGTTTTTGTCTAGATCAACTTTATTTTATGTCTATTTTTATAAATACTTTAGTTTTCACATATTCTAATTGACTACATTACATTGAATTGGTCATGCTTCTCATAGATTAATTTTCATAGTAAATCAAATGTTTCAATTTTTCTTTTCAGATTAGGATGACAGAAGAATTTATTGCTTGGAATGAACATCGAGAAATTGAGTTGAAGCATGTTTTCTATAGAATATTGGAAGACAAAATTCGATATTTGTCGTCATCTGAAACGGTACTACAAATTTTTAATTATGTGCAATTTGCTTATGAGCAAGTAATTGCACCTAATGATGCTAATTTGAGTTCTTTAGATATGACATTATCTTTAGAAAGGGAATACAATAATTTAATGTTAGATTTGTCGGCATTTGATTTAGATGTTATAAAAATAACAGAAAAAGAAACATACGAAAATGAAGCTAAAGAAACTAAGCGTGCCAAGCATGCAAGTAAATTGTTGAAGGATGTTGATAAATTGAGCAAGCGACTTAAATCCTCCTACGAACCGTCTAGAGCTAAAACTTACGATTGAGATACACAGTTATGAAACTTTAAATTCATCCTACCATTTCTAGCCTGTTGTGTTTTAATTTGCGATGTCTTAATAAATTAAAATCTTTTTGCTTTTTTCATTTGTAACCTTCGCAGTCTGAAAAATATGAAGATTATAATTCTTCTAAAAAATTTTAATTTGAGTGACAGGAACGAACATTTCACAATAATGTAAACTTTAGATTGTTATAATCTTAATTTGTATTTAAAGTTCGATAACAGTTTTATACATTTATATTCTTAAAATGCCTTGCCTAAAAGAAAAACGTAAGCCAATGGTGCCATTAAAAACTTTAGATATAATATTTAGAAGGCGTTATGTACCAAATACTCAACACTATTTTGCTAATAGAAAACATACTATAAAACAACATTCGATGGCAAAAAAGCCATCTCAACCTTTTCGTATACCAAAGTCTGAAATGTTGCTTTCTTATATAAAATACAGTGATCGTAGAGAAAAATTTATATCTAGAAATAGATTATCACAACCATTACATTTAAAAGATAATATTAAAATTGCCGCTACGAGGGATATATCCAAAAGGCTTTTCATTGAAGAAATGGTTGATGATGTAAGAGCCGTTGTAGAAATTCACCCTGAGTTCTATACAGTTATTGAAGGTCGACCCTTGCGATGCTTTGATGATATAAAAGTTTATGTTAATAATATTCGAAGCTATGCCATGAATCGTCAACAAATCGGCTACAGACGAGACCTCATATTAAAAATAGATCAGAGTATGGCCGAAGAGACTAGAGAGCATGACAAAATATCATCTAATTTAAAAAAACATATAAAAGATTTTCAGAAGTTCCTTACAGAGGATTATAAAAGATCATCGGCTAAGGTATCTAAAGCAGAAAAAGTTTATGCAGAGCTATTGTTAAAAAAATCAGAGTTCTTAGGATATGTATCAAAAATAACAATTTTAAATAATATTTTGTTTAAGCTCGACGCTATACGAAGTATTTTGAAAATTTATAGGAGTTATTTAATATTTGTTGCACCACTTTCATGGCGACAATTACACGATGAAAATTTAAGACATAAAATTCAATCGATTCAATTTGAATCTAGGGAATTTAATACGGACAATGATTTAGTCGAAACTTTAGATATTGACAGAATGATAGAGCTTGCAAAACGAGAATTTCTGAATCCATACCCCCCACATATGTACTTTAGGCGTCCGCAACAAATGATGTATTTATTTCGTACTATGGAATTGCAGAGTAGAGAATATTTATTACAACTTTCTAAAACAGATATTCCCTATAGACAGTTACGAGAACGCATAAAACAATTGAAGCACCTTACAAAAAAGGAGTTAGACTATTTCCAATACTATATTGAATCCATCAATAACGAAATCGCTAGAGAAATGTATAACGAAAATCATCTTAAAGACAAATTTTTTCGCATACTCAATACAATGTTTTATGACAGTGTAGCTAGCCCTAGTACACTAAAATTAAAAATTTGTATAGAGTACGTGTACGAACAAATATTCGGGAAATGTGAGGAAGGTCATCAGAATTTGCAGGATCCTATGAAAATTTTAGAAGTCATGTACGAAGATTATAATTTACGCCTCGACTCTTTAGACTTCAATATAGTAAATCAAGCTCGAAGTGATTTCTTCGCACAAGATTTAAAGACAATGAAAAATGCTTATAAAGCTCAACGTGAATTACGAACTTTTAGAGAGATGACAACGGCAATAAATAAAGCCTTTTTACCACCAGCAAAATATAAAAGGCCTGTTCTTGCTAAATTTATGGATAAAAAATGCCGAATGACATTGGTTCTTGCTGAAAGGAAAAAATCCCTGTTAGCGAGTGGAGAACGTATCAAGCCAAAGAAATTTAAAATAAGTCCAGAAGAAAAAGATGGGTTACTATTATTTACAGAATGGTGTGACGGAATGAATCCGTCGCCGTATTTAGCTGAATATTATAAATTTGCTGCTTTTTGAGCTTCTTTTCCCTAATTATTAAATTTATTTTATATTTCTAAAATTCAGTTTTATTTACTTCTCCAGGTGGAAACGTATGATGCAAATTTAAATATATATTTATCTATTAAAATATTAATTCTTCATTTAAGGACCTATTTTATTATTAATCTAGTTGGCTAAAGACTGTGTAAGTTGTGTGGTTATTCTAAAAGTAATATTTTGAGGCTATATACATAAAATAATCAAAACTGGACGTAGTGTTTTTTTCACTATTAAAAGTATACTCTCTGTCAGCTATTTTTAAAATGAAACCAACTTCTAAAAGTTTTAATAGAAACCAAATAATAAAACCACCGGTGACATCAAATCCAAAATACATTTTGCCTACAGAAGCATATTTAGAGGCTCATAATTTCAAAAGAGCAGAAGTACTTTTACCCTTTAAGATGTATGCTAAGAAGCGAACTAAGGATCGATTTACGCAAAAACTAAGTATCAAAATTCATGAAAGATATAAAATTATTAGCACTGACCTAAGAAGACGTTTATGTATAAAAGATTCAATAAATAATATTTTATGTGCAACTGATGTCGACACCGCTTTTTATAAGGTTGTAGACGGAAGACCATTACCACCGAATATGCTCATATTTAAATCTCTTAAAGAATCGATTAATAAAGTGGTGCAAGTTAAACATGAGATTGGAATAAAAAAGGATTGTGTTCTGAATATATGTACAAATCATCAAAATGAGATGGATATTTATGATATGTCTAGAAAAAGATTGTCGGAACAAGTTAAATATTTCGATATCTTTATATCTCAAGATTATGAAAAATCAATGGCTTCTTTAATAAAATGGGATAAATTAAAATGTAAAGTTGACTCAAAAATAACAGAGTTACAAAATTTAGCACTAGAACAGTTTACTTTAAAATCTCGACTCATTGGGTTAGAATATCAATATAGCCTTCAACAAAAATATGGCAGATTTTTGTATTATTTGTCACCCCCTAATTGGCGTTTGAGTAACAGAGATTTCGCAAGGTCGGTAGAGATTGAAGCAAAAGGTTTCGATTTTATTGATACTAATGAAGAAGACACTTTTACAGTTATATTTGAACGATTGCGCAACATTTGCTACGGAGTTCAAATTAAACCAGCGCTATATTTCAGCCATCCGAAGGATCTAATCAACTTTTTTGATTTTATGGAAAAGCAGCAGCTTCATTATTATACCCATGTTAACCATTTGACGCCTTATTCAAAAATTTTAAAAAGTGGGATTAAATATCTAAAAGAAAGTGTTTTGCAAGAATCTAAAGTGGTTACTACTTCGATAAAGCGGTTCCAAGATCTTTTAACATTTTCAGAAGAAAGGTGTCTTCATTTGAAAAGTAAATTTCATAAAATACTGTATGGTATGTTTTATGAGAGTGTAGGAGCATTAGATGTTTTAAAATTACAATTACATTTAGAATTTTGTTATAAAAAAATATTATTGGAACAACCAGCAAATATTGATATTATGTCTTTGGCACAATCCATTGAAAATTTTTATTTAGATTATTCAAATCGCTTAGATTCGTTTCAGAATAAAACAGTCAGGAGTGCTATGATAAAATGTGTGGAAACGGAGCGCTTAAAGACTAAAAGATCAAATGTTGCTGCTAAAGAGCTGCGTTTATTTTACAGACTAGAAAAAGAGCTACTTCGTTCTCATGGAATATATACTGATCCTGGTTATAGGCCTATTAAAACTAAATTTATGAAAAATGACAAGAAGGACAAAGGCTTTAAAAAGAATATGAATGAAAATAAAAAACAAACGTTAACAGAAGCACAAATGGAATATCTGTCTCTTTTTACCGATTGGACTGAAAATGATGACCCAGCCCTGTACCTGTTGAGTTTGAATACAGAGGAAAATATTAGCGATATTTAGTAAAATAAATAAACCATTTTATCGAAAACAGACTTTATTACGGGGATCCATTAAAATAACATTCATGTATCACCATAAAACACAATACAATTACAATAGCATTAATGTTTTTAACACAATTATAATAACAAAAGTAGTTCCCTACTCATATAAATGTTTGGTTTCTTGGTATTGACGAATAACTACATTTGGAATTTACATATTTACAGGGTGAGTAAAATAAAATGGTAAAAGCTTAATTAATTCAATACATTGGTTATATTATACTAAGTTAAGCATCTATGAGTAAGTAAATAAATAAATACCTAAATTAATTATAGCTATCGATAAACTTCGAAATGATAGCTTATGTACTCGTTCCATGATGTCTCGTTTAAATGATCTGTTGTCATATAATCAATATTTCATGGGAATTTTATTTTTAAAAGGCAGGAAGTGTGTCCATCTATATGTTGATGTAATTATAAATGTAGATCCTAAAATATATTTACAAGGATTTTATGTACAAGGATTTGATGGACCAGATTGAACATTAAGAGAAAAGAGAAAGAATTCGTATCCCCAGAACAACACTAGGTTATTTTTGACCGTCAATAGGAGAAACAATATTTAAGGGATAAATTTCTCAAGAAAATTGAACCAGTCCATATCGTGAAATAAAAAGCTTAAATGCGACGCCTTTGGTATTTTTTAATTATAAATAAGTGCTAATAAAGGCCCGTAAAGAATAATAAAATTATTTAACATTCTTAAGGGAAAATAAGATTGGCAAAGTTTTTTAGTGTTCATAATTATCATTCATCTACTGTGTCTCTAAAGGAATCACAGAATTTAGTGAGCTAAAAATTATTGTAGGACATTTCCACAGTTTTTTCATTACTATCTGTGTCAGTCAAAGATTATTGTTGTTAAAATTTATACCATAGCTATTTTCAAAAGAAAATGACTAGTGGTTAAATCAATTTATCAAAATTCGTTTTCCTCAAAATGTTCATAAAATTTGAGCAACCCTATGATGGAATATCTTCATAAGACGTTATGAACTTATATAGTAAAAATCAATATTTGGTGTTCAATTTAGGATATTATTATTGGTATCCCTTACTGTGAGCATTATTTTAGTTTTCTACTGTTGATATTTTTATCATACAGATTTAATTACATAAAAATAATTTATCTGACTCGTTTTTTCTGCAACTTGGCAAGTTTTCTTCTTTTGAGAATCATTTCGTAAAGTGCTTCGAGACCCTCATGAAGACCTTCACCAGTGATGGCACACGCGGGCTGCACATGCCATGAGTGCGAATCGCGCGAGCCGTGCGGTGACGACACTAGTTCATGTAGCCCTAATAATTTTTCTAGTTCCCGCGGTTCCTTTGCTCCAGGTAAGTCTTGCTTATTTGCTAGTACGAGTATCGGCACGCCTGCGTTATCTGGTGATTTAGCCGTGCGAATTAGTTCCATTTTGGCTTCCTCCATCCTCTCAATATCGACGGAGTCTAATACAAATATAATGCCGTCCGTGCACCGTGTGTACGATTTCCAAAGCGGCCGGAGCTTCTCTTGTCCTCCTACATCCCAAACTAGAAAATTGACACCCTTAGACTTTCCAATTGTGCCTTTGACTTTTTCGCAATTAAAACCTATTGTGGGGACGGTGTTCAGGTACTGGTCGAACTTGAGCCTGTAGAGCGCTGTGGTTTTGCCGGCGGAGTCGAGGCCGAGCATGACGACGTGGAGCGTGCCCTGCGTGGAAGGCAGCGCATCGAGCAGGCTCGAGTTCTTGCCCATGTTTGCACCCATGCTGCGAACGACGGCCGACTATCTGACACTCTCGTCTGGCCGCAGCATGTTGAGCTTTAAATCTGAAATGATAAAAAAAATAATTGAGTTTTAGCTATCATACAAATTATTTCACCAGTCTTAACAATTTAGAACTTTCATTCAGTAAATTAATATTGTAAATTTATTACAACATCTTTTTATTGATTTAAACACTTAATAGTGAAAGAACATTAATAGAATAAAATGTAATATCAAAAAGTTTTCAAAGTAAGAGTTTTCATTGTTATAAATTGAGTGAAATTCATATCGTTAATTTAATCTAAAGGTTTTATTCATTATTAAGATTGAGGGCTTATTTGTAGCTCAGTTTAATTTTAGACATGAGTGGATCGATTTTACCGGGAATATCACAGAAAGAAAAAGCCTTTGTAGCAGGTAAGGTCGTCTAGAAAATATATTTGGGTGCTAACATTTCAAAAAAATATACATAATACACATAGTGGAAAATGGGCGATGAAATATGAGACGAAATTTTGACTCTTAGTATTCTGTTATTTCTTAAATGTGAAAATGTATTATTTATTAAATGCATATTTTGGAAAATGTAAATGTTTTCCTTATCTATAATATACGGAAAGGCAAGAATAACAGTAAGTAGCAAGATTTGACATAGAGTGTAGTTTTTGTTTACATTTGTTTTCTAAATTAAGAATTTTTTATATACCTAAATTAATGTTGTATATACCTAAATAAATTAAAATTTGAACTAATCATATACAGGCATAATTAAAACTTTTCATCCTAAATTCGAAGAAGATAGAGAAAACACAATTTAAAACAAATTTCTTTCGAATTAATACTTCCATTACTAACAATATTTGAAGCCCATTAAGACTGCTGATTTACGTTGAATGACTTTTTAAACTAAGATATTGATTGATATTAAATATATCAAAGATAGGTTTTTGCAATGTAGACAGGTGAATGATAAGCACAATCCAATAACGGTAAGTAACGGTTGGGTCTGCCGAGACAAGATGTCGCCCAGACGCCCTTTAAAGCTCCCCACGCTACTTTCTCTAGCGATTGATAAAGCCACAGACGGCACTCTCTGTCGTCATCGAATTACAATTATAGAAATTTTATAACATACTCGTGAATACACTGTGGGATTATACTTGAAGAATTTCTATATGACTAAGATTCCAGACAAGTCTCATTTAAGGACAGAAGAAAACAGAGATTGGAATGAGAAGTCTAGAATTTTTTTCCTAATCTAATCACACTATTAAAATAGGGTATACTGAAACTACTACGCAATATTAAAGTATAACTATATGTAGTTTTATTGTTTCAAAGGTGTAATGACTTTTTGCACAAGTTGTAGTGACTCGCGAAGTTAGCAACTGCGCTTGTTATTTTTGACATTACCGGCCAACGACCTAACGATTGCACGTTAATTTATTTTATGAGTGACGTACTAGTAATGGATGCCGTATTACAGTATTATATTTTACTTGCGTTTTTCAATTAATTTTAATATTAAGTATGCTAAATAATGTCCACAATAAAAGTTAATAATTAAAGCTGCTTATATATGTTACATGTAACAACTGTACGTAGATGCTATTAATATATTTTCAACTTTCTGTAAAAAAACATAATTCTTTATATGTTTTACTATCTAATTTTTAAAATTATGCCACTTGAAATTTATGAAATGAGGTAATTTTTCTATTGAGCAATGATGAAGACTGCGTTAAGATTTTTTCCCCAAATGCAAATTACGAGTGCATATATGCATGTATATGTAAGTACATACGTATTTGTGTGTGTCTCATTATTGAAAAATTAAAACAGGTTTCACATCAAAGTTTCTATCATGAAATTCGAGGTCATACATATTTCGAATGGGTTTTTAAGATAGGGGCCTTCGACCTGCGTATCTAGAAAAACTTGTATAGCAACTTTTGTTTTTATTTGACCGACTTGCGATTTGTTCACTTCACTATCGACTGACCCCCGATATTTATCTATCTATGATTAACATAGATCTAAAAGGAATAAATGAACCATTCGACCATAACTATAAATAAAATGTATTAACAGAGAATCTAGCGGGGACTGTTAGTGATTTTAGCGTCTAGCGACAATATTTACTTGTTGTAAATATTCCAAAAAACTTGTATAATTAAGGCGCGGGTTCATGCATTCAATAATTTTTTGTGTGAATAAGATTTTATTTTCATATGATGCTCGTTTTCACTATTAAAAGGTTCCTCGGGATTTTATTGCAGTAAGAGTACCCGTGAGTCTCTAGAGTCGAGAGAAAGCTCACGTTGTGAGATGATTAGAACTTGAGATCATCCTTGACTTTCTCCTGCTGCCCTAAGGTAGATAATCGTTTCTGATTGTTACCGACTATATACAATTGTATTATGTAATTTTAAACTAGATGTATAGTTGATAATTAGAAAAGTTTAATAAGATTTTTTTTTAGTTTGGTGAAGGCTTGGAAGCTAGAGAGTATATAAAATACAAAGTATATTATGCTAAAAATAATAGATATATTAAAAATATTGTATAATAATAAGAAAAAATATAAAAAAGTACTTCATTTAGTAAGTGTGAAAAAGGCACAGTGTGAGGATTAAACAATGAACTTACATACGCCTAATTTGTCAAATACGATTATTCGGTTAACCTGACCTTAATTTTCCAAGTAAATAGTTTTGTTTCATTTACATAAAAACATCATACATTTTAAACATTACTTTATCCTTCGTGGGAGAAAGTTGAAACCTGATTAAAGCATAAGAAAGTAATTGAGTGTCATTTAGGCTGCTGGGAAATATGAAAGTGGCGCTATCTTTAATATAATATTATTTTGTTAATTATGCAGGTTGGAACAAATCCATGGGACATGGAAGAAAAGTACCTTAAATATTGAAGTTATCTAAATTTATTCAAAATAAATATTTCTTTATTTTTAAAAATAATAATAACTGCATTTAATTTTATTTTTTTTTAAAAAAAAGCTTACCTGAACCGGAAATCGAACGATATAAATACAAAAAAAGGACACCATCACTATTTTATCGTATTAATCGATAGTGGTTCGATTACCGATTCGGGTCAGCTCTTTTAAAAAATATTAAATGCATAATACTTTCTTAGATTTACGCGAATATTTGACATTTTAAATTAAACTATCTTTTCGGATTTTTTCGCGGATTTATTTGGATCTTTGGTTCCCGACGTTTCGAATGCTTTACAGCAATCATGGTCACGGGAGAGACTGAGGTGTTAGATGTCTCGAAGGTATAGTTGTTACAGACAGCCTACCCACAAATAACAAAATGAAAATTGCATCAATTACCTTACAATATGTTAACAAAATTTTGGTTACCTAAGCTAATATTTAGTTTTAAGAGGCAGACACAATATGAATATTACCATTGATTAAAAAATATTATTTTTTGTTAAACATATAGCCCAAACTACATATATAAAATACTTAAATAAATATGAATATCTTCATTTATAAAAAATACTTAGCTGTAATCTAAATGATTTGCAATATGGGATGTATTTAACGGTATAATAAGTGTAAATTGTCCGTTCATCTACGGACCATTAGTAGATCGTGCGGTTATGTTCCGCTATGTCGCGGAATGCGAGTCCTAGTCCGTATGCGACGCGTGGACGACCCGCGAGTGACCCAGCCCTACTTAGCGGTAACCTACTAATCTAACTTGGCTTCCGCTACCATTTATGCTTTTCCCTTTTATCAAAGTAACTAGCAATTTCTCTTAATTTCAACATAACAAACTTAAATTATGACAAAATTATAATTTTGTTGTCAAGTTTATTTAACTTAAATTAATAAAATATGGCCAAAATTTTTACTTGTATATATGAAATGTTTTTGTCACATATTGCAGGATAAATATATTTTGATTTTACCACGCCACCCATCGTATAATATCACATTTGGAAAGTGAAAGTGAATAAAGAGCTTTTCAAATATAAACGAAAAAACATCTGCCTTTTTTCATATCCGACGTAACCCAAGGGAAGGAGGTATTAAATTCAATTAATCTCAGCATCACTCGAATCGGATCATCGAACGGAGAGTGAATTCGGTCAATGCATATCAAATCGAGACCACCGTTAAATGCATGCAAGCCGGCCAGTGCACGTAACGGAGCAGCAATCGTTATAAGTGGCGATTCAACGTGCACGTGTTACAGGTGAAATATGCATTACCATCGGCCACTACTTTATTATCTTTATATGGCGTGCTTGATATTTTAAGTGTGGTAGAAACACTTTTGGTACAATATACTAGTCATGTACATTCGAGAACCAAGATTTTACCGTTGAATTAAAGGAATATCTTGCAAATCACGTCATTTTCTAGGAATAGATCAAAATTCTTGCATTAAACTCTCATTGATGCTCTCCACATAGTAAGATAATGTTCATATCTTCTCTAAGTTCTATGTTTTCTTCGACATAAGATATTCTATATGCATTAAGAAATAATTATGCCAATTTATATCAAAATCCATGCAGCTGTTCGTAATAATAATACCTAGTACCATTTATGTTATTTTCTCGAATCCCTTATCCCGTGGCGTTTTTCTGAGATATAAAGAAGATTTTGTTCTGGATAGAATACAAGCTGTCTGCAATAAATATTTTTTAATTTGAAACTAGCCGACTTCACAGACGTTGTTCTGTCCTGTGATCTTTAAGTTCATTAAGATGAAAACTCTATAGGAAAAATCACTATAATTTTTTACGGATTTCCAACTACCTGGCCAAGTTTTTCTATTTTTTTCCTTAAAAACCTTATTCGATCTCTTACGAACATTTTAAAAAGAAATTCGTTCAGCCATCTCAAATGATGAGCTTTACAACGGGCAGCATTTCATTTTTACTTATTTACATGAAAGTTAGGATAGATAAAGCTTTTATAAATATATTTCTACTTACGTATAAAAATGAAAAATTGGCTTTGATCCACGTTCCCCAGACGTATAAATCTGTAAAGAACAAACAAGGGTTATTTTTTTCATCTAAAGGAAAAAATAAAATATAAATAATGAATAAAAAGGCTTGATGTAAGGTTTGCTTTACAGCTGAAGCGTGTAAAATGAAAAACTCAAGGAAAATGTTGAATCGTGTGGATGATTGCGGATGTCTACATCCGCCGCGTCCACTTAGAGCGAAGATGCGGATTTCCACCTTCCTGTTCCTTTTTACGGAACTATAGTTCAAGTTGATGCTTGACATAATTATTCGAAGAAACAACGTGCCAACAATGCTGCACTAGTTTTTTTTTACTTTTCATTTTATTTGTACAACATACTCGTATATGTAAAGAATAAATATAAAGATTGGATAATGGACAAAGCTTGATGTTAGGACTTAATTGATCTAAAAGTAAAATCTCCCCGTATGTTACGAAACGTTATTTATAGTGCGCGGCAACTTGCAACCATGTTACTGATATTTCATGTTGCATGTAGCTATGTACTTAGAGCGTTCAAGCTCTGATGCATATCAAAAGGCTCAAGTCAAGGGTTTAAAACTTTAAAACTGCTAATTAGTCGCTGCAAGTACAATATTCTTGCAAAACCCTTAGTCTGTAGAGTATTTGCCTACGAATTAAGTTAATATTGGGGTGGAAGTAGAATTTTTCATTATAAGAGATGGATTGAAGTATGCTCATATTATTTTAATTGGAAGCCTGTATGAATGGTCTATCAACAATTCAAGTTGCAGACTGTAATACCAAGCGAATTTAAAGAGATAATACAATCAAGTGGAGTATAAAATAAATACAACGTTTATAAGTAGTTTACTTACACATATTTGTTTTGAAAGCAAATTGGAAAGTTAGTATATAATCAATTGACGCCAATACGCGTAATGTGTTATGGCAACGTGAAAATATGAAAACACACTTTGAAGTAAAAATGCAAAGTCAGGTGAAAATGGTAATAAACTAAAAGTTGTGATATTTGTGCAGTTAACATGCGATTATATCGCAATATACGAGTAATGTAAATGGCATTATAAAGTCGTGCTGGTAACGGTAATGGTAGATTTCTAAACATGTTTGAAGAGAAGAACTGTATCTATTATTTTATTTTCTCTTGATTTTCCACAGTTTTTGTTTTTATAATATTACTAGCGACTCACCCTCGCTTCACTCGGGTTCGTCCCTAGGTTGATTCGCCATACAAACTTTTATCCCCATTTTCGCCCCCTTAAGGGATGATTTCCGGGATAAAAAGTATCCTATATCCTTTCCAGGGCCTCAAACTATCTTCTTACCAAATTCAGATTTAGAATCCAGAGATTACGCCCTACAACGTCACAAACTCACAATTCACAAACTTTACCTCTATAATAATAGTATAGATTATGGTAATTGACTATATGTGGCTAAATAAACTTCATTTAATAGATTTTTTTGATAATAGTAGGTGCATTAAAATAAGGTTACAGAGTATATCCTGGTTAACTCAAGTAATTTCATTTTCTTTGAACATCTGGCACGCTCAGCCTTCTTTGTTCCTGCATAATGAACATTAAATACCAAATGAAATCATTTCTACACAACATAAACTTTAAATTACCAACATCTGTGGTCCTTTTAAAATAAAAAAAAATGTTATAACAATAATATAAAAATTCTTCCATTTTGAAATCATTTTTTGTAAAATAGTGGGTAGGCACTGTCTGTAACAAGTATAATTAACGTTTTTGAAACGTCTAAAACCTTACGTCTCTCCCTTGACCATTATTGCTGTAGGTAAAGTATTCGAAACGTCGGGAACCAAAAATCAAAATAAATCTGCGAAATAGTCCGAAAAGATAGTTTTATTTAAAATGTCAAGTATTCGCATAAATCTAATATTATACATTATTTTCACAAAAGGCGTAGAACTTTATTATTTTACCTTAAATGGTGTTTTATTAAGAATGTTTAAAAACAGTTACAGCGTTATACATGGAAAAATTTAAATTGCATTTTTCTTCTTGCAAACATAACAAAAATGTGAAAAAGATGAAAAAAAATCAAGTCAAGAGATACTTTAATAAAGACTACAGCATGGTTGTGCTTAATGGTTATTAAATTAGAGTTCTGTAAGCGCGAAATATTTACGAGGATTTATAAAGTGGAAAGTAAGTGTGTGATGGTCTCTTTGAAGATAGTGTGCGACCGGTGTATGTTTTTAAAGTCAATTAACATGTCATCTCTTAGTTGGTTTTAATATAACGTATTGTAATATACACACCGTTTACTAGTTATTATATTAATGATTTTAAATTGTTTTTAATAAAGCTTTCAATTTTAAGCTTCATATTTAAAGTCAAACAGGTAAATGAAAAAATGAACAAGATTATAAATAAAGTGAATAGGTTGAGTACTTAACGAGATATATAGTAAAATATATCGATTTCATTAAACATCAAATGTCGGAATTTTTGTTACACGATACAAATGTAGATTGTAAATTGTTGCTCGAAGGTTTGCAAAATTTTATTCGCTCGCGTAATTATTTTGTGCAATAGATAAATGTATCGTTTTCATTTTTTTTCTTATAGTCTGTCAACATGACATAAAACAGACTTAAATAAAGCTTGTAAAATATGAGAAAGAAAAGTCATATTATAGTTTATTAGATTTATTTTTGACAAGATGAGGTACTATTTTAATATACATATATTTTATAAAAAGTAGCCTATGTGCTATTCCAGACTATAAGCTATCTCTGTGCCTTTCATCCAGAACCGTTCAGCCGTTCTGGCGTGATTGAGTAACAAATATCTATCTAAACTTTAAAAAGTTCACATTTATAATATTAGTAAGATATCTATAGGGATACGATGTCGTCCTGACCGATTTCGGTCATGACGGCCAATCTCAGAGACTAGTGTAAGCGCAGACACAAGTGCACTCTCCATTCCTTTCTTTCAAATTCTGATGAGATGATAATTCGACACGACCGGTGAGAGATCAGGTGTAGGACCGACAGCTTTATGTGCTCTCCGAGGCACAAGGGTGAAGCAATACCAACTTCCTAACACCGGACTGTTACTGGTACTTTCTTAACAGATAGACTCAATAACTAAATTTGGCACGAGCCACGACTCGAACCCAGGACGTCCGGATGTGCAGCCGTACATGCTAGCCACTACACCACCGAGTAAAGAAAGATAAATACAAAATACAGTAAAGATGAATACAACACAAAATAAATGAAAGGACGCCAAATACTGCACTTATCATTTGTACCAATCCTTTGAACATAGCAATAATCGAATCCACTAATTATATGACACATTACAGCGATAGAAGAATTTTATAAAATAAACACAAAAATGTTACGTAATCTATTATGAAATTTTTTATTATGTTTATGAAGATGTATGAGAGCGCTGTAGGGAAGTAACCATTTTGTATCATTTGTCAGAAGTCCTTATGTATTGTATGCTAATTTGTGTGACTTTATGAGTATAATGGACGTGGGAGGTACAATAGCCAACACATAAAATGATTATGAACACCTTTAATTTTATTTATCGCCCTTGTTAAATTCTTTAATTATACGTAATACAACATTTGTGATAATATTATGTTATTTAATTGTAGAAATGCAACAGTTTTAGTATTTTTATGTATTTTTTATTCATCATCCAGTGTAACACTTGCCGCCATCAACCGTGAATTCTGTTGAGTAACTTAAAAATGCAAAACGTTTACTGCCTAATATTTTACGTGTTGAATAATTCACCGTTTTATTTTAAGCACTAGCATATATCCATGGTTTCGTGTGCTGATATTTCAATTTAATTTGTAACAACTAAACTGGAACATTTCTTTGATAGAATGAATTTTCTATTTAACTAAATTGTTTATTAATACATACATTGAAATAGTGGTATATAAATAACAGAGTTCAGTTGTGTCACAGGGTCTGTCTGCAAAATATCTAAATTGGCAACCATGGCAAAAAACTGCTAAATCAAGTATTAATTAAATCCAAATATACTTGATTTAGTATATCTATAGATAGTACATATATCTATAGCATAAGTATATATATAGATATGTAAATATGTACCTATAGAGCTCTGCCATAGTGGTTGAAATATTATAAATTTACGTGATCTGACTACATAATATTATATTTTTTAAAGAAAAACTTTTGTGACAATTCATATAAATATTCTTATAAAGAACATGCATAAAACACTGTAAGCTCTTAATACGTTATTTTCAAAATTATTCCTTGTGTAAGTTCAGGACTAATTGTCTTTTATATGAATAGTTAGTAATCTTATTGTAAGCGTACAAAGTGTGTATAAATTAGGGAGACAATAGAGTTCAGTCGAACAGTTATTGTGATTACCAAATCAGCATCGCTTAAAGGCATAGACCCAGCAATTTGACCGAAGTTATTATAACACTTATGAGCCGGTTCTCATATTTATGTTCGTTGAACTTAGATCGTGGTTGATCTGAAGCGTGACTTCTGCTCCGTGATATGTTTAGTTTTTCATACATTAACCATGCAAATCTTTTCTTAATGACTTGTGATGAGTTGAATGATGTATTATGATTTTACTACACTTTATTTGATATGCAGGTGATGTTTGAACAGATAAGCGGAAGGAGAAATACAATCATCAGGATTCGGCGACACGTTTGGTTCAGTTTGTAGAGACTACTTCCCGTGACAGCGGTCGCAAGTTCGAATCCCGCTGAGGGCATTTATTTGTGTGTTGAGCACGAATGTTTGCACTCCAGTCGTGGGTATTCATATTTATAATATGTATGTATTTAAAGTTATATATATATATATATATATATATATATATATATATATATATATATATATGTAGTGTATTAACTATCTGGTATCCATAACACACGCCTCGTAGCTTACTATGGAACTAGATGGTGCTGTGTGTTAATGTCCCAACATATTTATTTATTTTATTATTTATTTATAAATGTGGTATTCAA